TGACGAACCCAGAATACACCTACAACAACGCAGCTGCCGGCGGTGGAGGTGTCCCGGACCCGGATCCGACTGCTTCCTCCGCAAATCCCATCCCTCTACCGCCGCGCGATCGTAACAAGGTGATCGCTGCCAATCCGAAACGACACGTCCGAAAACATCCACTGATCATCCCCGCATCCGGACTGCAGCGAACCCTTAACAAGGTCACTCAAGTCACCCCCGTCGAGGAGAAAACCGACGTTTTCACTGTACCAAACGACGACTCCGTCAATCTAGATTCGAACAACGTACTCCTAAAAGCGTCCTCCGATTCATCCAAGCTGAACGAAATTGGTCACTCCTACGTCAACAACAACAACATCCAGTTGATCCCTCAAAAAGCCTACGCGAAAGACTTTGTCGAAAACAACTTCCCCAACGTAAAGCCCCTGACCACCCTGCCGGCGACCATCCCGGCAACCAGTACAATTCTCACCCGCCGTCGCATCGAACGGGATGCCGCCAATCGTCAGTCCCTCCCACGCGATCCCACCTACGAAAACCTGGACATCTACCAGACCCATCAGTTCAACAACAACAATCTCAACGTCGACACCGCATCCCTGCACTGCGAATCCATTCTGGAGAACGACTCCGACAAGGTGCCTGATCTATCCTCTCCCTCGTCCTCGATCGACGTCGTCGACAGCTTCACCAGTGCCTTGTACGCCATAGAAAGTAAGAAGTCGACCAAACTCGTCGACGAGGTCCTGCGCAATGTCGACACCATGGTCGACACCAAAACGGTGGTCGACAAAAAGGGCTTGCTAAGGTCACCGCCGCCACCGGCGGGACCTGCACCCACTCTCAACGCTGCCATGGTGGAATCGTTTAGCAGTTTGACGCGACCTGCTCCACCACCTCCCCCCGTAGCTGCTGTGACGACTTCAGCGACGTCGGCGTCGGCGGTAGCGGTAGACGAAATCGACGGTATGCCAACGTCGCCAGCGTCCGTCTCCGAGGGCGACCTGAAGAAATCTCTCAACTACGTCAGCTGCGAAGATCTGCTGGAGTTTGCCGAGAAACCGAAGGGACGAGCCCGGGGGCTGGAATCGGACGAGGTGCGGATCATGTCCAAGGTGCTCGGGAAAAATGTAAGTAGCACTGTTTGATCTTATATTAAGTGTCGATCGATTCACATTTTGAATAAACGTCAAAAGTTTGTTTTGCCGGTGTGGAAAACGGTAACTTAAATTATGACTCTGATAGCAACGACCGGTGTGGAGAGGAGTGATTAAGCCAAAATGGAAACGCTGTGCGAACAAGTCAATTTAATAGTATCGTAGTTGGTAGCACCGCCACCTGTGGCGCGCATAGTCATTTCCCTTTAGTTTGACGTTTACACACTACCGGCATCTATTTAGCGTACTACCCACCACAGTGTACTTAACAGATGGCGGTAATGTTTTAGCGACGATGTTTTACAGTGAGAAATATTCAATGTGTTATGTCTGTTTGTCTGTGGTGCATCTTTGACTTTTCCAGGTTAACTTTCATAAGATATATTCATTTCATTTCCTGGCTCCATCAATGCTGCATCGTAAATATGATGGTAAACAGAAGTAAATTGCTCAATTACTCAAAATAAAGATGATTTGTCATCTTGTTATCACTTTGAAGACCATCTAGCACCATTTTATAGTATGGTGCGTGTTGAGTGAATCAAGTTCCGGTGCGTTTTCCGTCAAAAATTGTGAGTATCAATATGTTTGCTTAAAAAGGCCAAAATGAACATTTATTGAATATTGGCGTCCTATACAACCAATCTATATTACCACCAGCATGATACAACCTTTCCTAAGTAAATTCACTTAATTTCCACTTTCATCTTAGTAAAAATCGCACATATTTACCATTTTCTGAAAAATGCAGCTGCGCAGGAGGTCTCCTTGTGGGTGCAAACTTGTTATGCATAATTTGCCATGAAAACATCTCCGATCCATACCGAAATAATAACAAATAGTTTTCAAACATGTTTTCTTACACGATTCAAGCAATAGTTTCCACGGGAAATAATAAGTTTTTCTTTATGGACCAATTTGCCCCAAAAAGCGTCTGTTTTACTTGGAAAATTTGGAAACTATCCTCCTTCTAGTAGTTCTCACTTCGAAATGTAGGTGGCGAAAGCTTGGAAAAGTTTCACTGCAAGACGCCAATTAATTATATGATTTGAGTAGTAGCTATACTGAAGATCCGAGAGATGTCGCCCCTTCAGTGGTAGGAAAATCATTTTTGCAGTATGGAGAATATCAGAAAATCCACGATTTGTGACTAAACATACTTTCACAGAAGGAAACAAATTAACGAGTGTTTACCTTATCACCATAGTAATGTACTCGTGCAATTTTTGTGCATCTAAAACTGCCCATAAAGACGATAATGAATAAAAACTGAAAATTCTCATGCATTTCCAAATGGTTTCCTACCATTCCCATACATTCGAAGTGACTGGCCCTCTGGATGTGGATGATGTCAAAAACAACAAAACATGATTAATTGATGAATCTACGCAAAACTGCACCAGTGCATGCGTTACCTAGGTTTGAAATCCAAAACCACAAAAGTGATGATGTACTAAAAAATATTCCACACGATTTGACAGCTAGCAAAACGTCATTATCATTTTCACATCATTTCCATCTACTGGCCGACCGTAACGTAGATTCATCAATAACAGCGGGAGCGAAAAACCCGATCTGAGTAAGCCTAGTTGTCGAATTGAAAACTAGTTAGAACCAAATCGACATCGGTTAGGCATCTTGATGTGACTATTGTCATACTTGCCGTTTCTGTTCCGCTTCCGCCCAGATTGCGTTTAGGCCTTAACAAGGCCAAAATGTTGTTACTCAGGGTTACTTTAACTTTTCTCAATGTTTATATTTATTGCGAGTAGTTTTATCTTGTTTTATCGAAATCTACAAACTCCACTTTAGTAGTAATTTCAAAGAGGAGCAAACTCGGTGACAAGATTCTGTTTTCTTTTCGATAACACCAAATTTTTGGGAGCAAATTCATACATCGGTGTCGAAATTTGTTTAACTCTCACTGCCCATAATAGCAAGTCAGTCCCATCTGTAAAAAACTGAAAATGAGAACGGCGTTCAAAGATTTTACAAGTTTTCTGATTCTACACTTATTTTGGAGGGGTAAATTTAAAAATAAACGTACAATGTTATAGAATGCATCTATGTTTACCAAAACATATTGGATAAAATATCGTGTAATTTTTATTTTATGGGCAAAGACGGAGTGGGACTGATTTGCGATTACATTTAACGTCAATGAGAAGAATAACCGCAAGTCAGTCACAATTCCATGACAATGCTGCATTAGTTTAGCACAGTATTGAACATTAGAAAGATACCATGGTCCCATAGAACGTTATTGAATGTTTCTGAATTTCACCCCTATTCTGTATTTCGTTTCGAACGAAATTCTCATACAAAAAAATATGTTTTTGTATGAGAATTTCGTTTGAAACGAAATACAGAATAGGGGTGTTTGTTCCGTTGGTTCCAGAGCAATGGCCAGAACATATTCCGGTGAGCATCAGACCAGAGCTTTTCATAAACGTGCCAAACCAACCATGCGATAAATCAATTCACATGAGAATTCAAAAATAAGATTAATAAGAGTCATAAAGAGTAACCAGCATCATGTTGGCCCCACCCGGACATGTTCCGGGTATATCCGGGGAAGTGGTAAATCCTTTTTAAATCAAAATTCATCAAGCGATACATCAAATCACATGAGAATTCAAAGCCATATTCGTTGGCGGTCAAATTGAGTATAAGCTATTTTACGTGACGTCTTGATGACAGTTCCTGGCGGGCCACTCGAACGCGCTCGAGGTATTGTTATTGTGTACGTCTGATGTTTTTGTTTTGATTTTGGTCGTGGTATGCCAACAAATCGGCCCGCTGGTAAACGTCAAAATAGGTAAACAGAAAAAACAGTTGATTCGAAACGTCTCGTAAAATGCCTTATTGTAAGAACTATATTGGCCACATCCGGACATGTTCCAGATACCCTAGGGGAAGTGGACATAACCTGTCTTGAGACAAAAACCCACTCATATTCTGGTTTGTTCTGTTTACAGTCAATCTGGGTGATCTCTTAGCGCAATCTGGGTAAACTGATATTAGCGGCCACCCTCCGCCATTATTCGAACAAAAGTATCACACCGCAGCTATAGAAATTCCACTAGAACACCGACCCTATAGAAACCCATTCAAATTTTCTAGATTCATAAGCTCTATAAATATTAGCTGGAAGGTTTTGAGACCATGTTGCACGGAGTGTTGTTCGTAATATTCTTCAAAATTCCTTATTTTATATGGGGACTTAGTATTGTCTCATTCAACTAGACAAATTAGGTCTAGTTACCTCATCAGGGATCTCAAGTTGAACATTTAATATTCTGAAATAAATTCGAATCGATTGGCCAAAGGCGACCCTTCTTTTATCTTATATGTTTTATCCTAATATCTCACAACTCTTTCCCAGACTCCCCCGGAGCAATGCCTCGTAACGCTGGACTTCATCGATTGGGACATCCACAAGGCGATCAAACTGTGCAAACTACAGAACATTCTCTCCACTTACAACTTATCGCTACAGGAAAGCCGCGAAGCGCTAGAAAACTACGACTGGGATCTACACACCACGGCACTGAAACTGAAAGCGCACAAATAAAACACGATATTACACGCCCGTACACGCAGCAAACAACAACAACAACAACAAATCAAACTCCAATGTCTTCCCTCAGAACGAACAAGTATTATCAACAGCAGCCTCTCTTCTCTTCGTTTTTAAGCCTTTACTCAGTATTGTTTTACTATACAATTTTAGGTAACATATTTCCAGTTAACATTCTAGCGAAATGCAACTAAAGCTCAAATATCTTATCGTAACAAATTTTCAGTGCGCAGCTCGAGCATTCAAAGTTGAACGAAAGATTCACAAATTCAAATCAAATTTATTCGACTAATTGCCAAATTAGCTCATTAAGTGTCCTTAAAGTCAACCGATTGTCGAATGTACTCTGACATTTTCGAATGTTATAAATGTTTCTATTGTACTGAGTGAATTAGACTTTACTGTTGAGAAAATCCCCGTAGGATTTCGAGAAATTCTACCGAATTAATCACACCAGTGGTTTTAACAAAACGAAAAAAAAAACCGTATTGTTCACAACTTTACCAAACCGGTTGCCTCGTAGAACCCATTGCAAGCCGTCGAGAAACGTTGCGACAGATGGATCTCCGTCACCTTCTGCGCACCGAAGTCAAATTCGCCAAACTCCCGCAAAATGGCCGTTGCATCGAACTTATCCCGGTGGTGGCGATTATGGTGCGGACGTCTCTCCTCGCCCTCTTCACCTTCGCCGTGGGAATGACGATGGTGGCGATTGAACACGGAATTGATCAACGTTGCATGCAGTTTAACGTGCCCGTACTGTCTCTGCATCAACCCGTTCGCAATGAAGTACTCCATGATCTGGTCGGCTATGCGCTGCAGCGGTTCGGATTCCACTTTCGCATACAGGACATCGACGGCGCTGGGATCATCGTTCATGTATTGCAGCCCACGGAGGCGCACTTCGATGGGGCCGAACTCGGCCAGCGTTAGTCTGAAAGGGAAAGGGAATAAGCGTGAATTCATTCGTCACATCCCACAGCAGGTAAGTTCTCTTACTCAATGATTGATTCACGGCAATCCTGCAGCAGCTGGGCTGCATGCGTACGATCCACGTTATCCATCAAACTCATCATGCACAAGGTCAGGTGCAGCTTTTCCGGTTTCTGGAAAAGCGATTCATCCAAATTGAACCCGCTGGGCAGTTCCGTTAGCACCTTCTCACGAAATTTAATGAAGTTCGATTTGATTTCGTCCGAAATCATGGGAACCGAGAGAAAGTGTGTGAAATGTTGCTTGTTGCGAGCTCCCAGTACGATCAGCTCGATGCGCTGGCGACAGGCGGTGACGGCCTTGGTCGACGTGCCCTTTACGATTACGTCCCCCTCGGTGCCCTGTTTCGGTACAATGATTTGCGTTTTGGTTTCCGCTTCCAGACGGCGCCGGGTGGCCCCCTTGTTGCCGATGATCATTGCAAAGAAGGCGCTTTTTCCCGAAATGGAATCGAAAATTGAATTAAATAGGAATTGATATAGGAAATGGAAAGCAGTTAGGAACTTACGATGGTACGTGGAAGGATGTCTGCAGCTTGCCGCCTTCCTTGAGCTGAATGTCGTAATCCAACTCCCGGTCATCTTCCTCGTAAAGATCTGTTGTAAAGGAATGGATTGTTGAAAATTATTTTCATGAAGCGCCTAATTAGTTGAGCCATACATAGGGGAATGTGGGGGTGAGATGACCATATGGGGCCAGAACATCATTGTCTCTCAAACACAACTTTTGACAGTTAATTTGGTGGACATGTGTGTGAACTACAGTTTTGGTGAATTCTGTGTCACTTTTCAAAAGGTCCTAAGTAACAAATGTAAACAAATCGAGTTAATCGATACATACTATTGCTCTTCTAGCAATGATGTGATAAAAAACTTCGGACATTTTGATTGCCTAACATGATTGGTGCTCATTTTCTAAAGGTGGGGCTTGGTTAGGTTAGGTACTCTATTCTGAAATCTGTGACAGGAAATCTAGTATCTTGTGGAACAAAACGTAACACTCATTGATGATCCCTAATAAAAATGGTATGGTTAATTTACTTAACGACGTGTTCTGGCTATCATCCAAACCATTTGTGGAATAGTTCAACGATTTGGGCTATCGTTTGATAATGGTTATTTTTTATTAGGGATGTCATTGAGAAAAATCGTCCCATGTAACATGTCCGATGCACAACTTGAAAAGTCAAAACGTCCTATGTGTTTTTTCTATAATTTTTTTCTTTTCTACTGAATTTTCAGCGTTATTATTCACTGACTACAATAAAAATAGTATTACAAAATGTATTATTTATGAACAGTTAAAATAATAATCTGTCGAACTTCAACTTCGATTTTCTCAATATGGCGGATATGTTACATTTTTTTCCTTCAATCTTGTTTTCCGTGCTGAGCACCAATACTACCGACGCCAGGGAGGCACAGCTCCCACACCTGGACCCTACCCAATCGACTAATCAACTCATGAACCGGGGACCAACGCCTTTACTTCCGTTCAGAAGGAAGGCGTGATCAGAGTTGTTATGCCTCAGAACATCCCGGCGGCGCCGACTGGGATTGAACCCAGGACTGCTGGGGTTAGAGGTAATCACACTTACCACTACACCCCCGGCGCCGTTGGATATGTTACATTGGTCTACAGTCTCCCTGTGGACATCACTGACTGGCTTCCAACTCCCAGCCAAAAAATGCACACTGATGCACATCTGAAGGCCGGCGCACAATGCATATGTTTTCGGGTTTTTTGACAGATGCATGCATGGGCTAACTGTAAAAAAACCTGAAAACGTATCTATTGTGCGCCGGCCACATTTCGCATCTCGAAACGAAAAACTTTTTTACACGACATCGACATGAATTCGATCGACATTTGTCAACTTGTCACTCTCAACATAGTTTACCCATTTTTTGGTAGGTTCAGTTTTGACCGATCTGGGTGGATGCTACCCAAATTGTGGTAGTTTTGAAATAGCGTGCATACAAGCGTTCGTACAAAAAGTGTTGTGTTTCGAGATGCGCAATGTGGCCCCTGCTCTCACCATCATGCCGTCCTAACTCTCCCGTCTGTATAAATGGTACAGCTATTCCCATCAGGAGGTCAGCCCGTATCCTCGGAGTTCGAATTGACCGATATTTGACCTTTTCTGCCCACTTCGACGAAGTCAAGAACGCCTGCAAGCCACGTCTCAATCTGCTACGATTCATCACAGGTCGACACCCAGACAGTAACCGGCCCATTCGGCTTCGAGTTACTAGAGCAATTTTGCAATCACGTCTCCTTTATGGAATCGAAGTTACCTGTCTCGCTCGCGAACAATTTATTACAAAACTAGCCTCTACATACCATCAAGCTATCCGTATCTCATCCGACCTACTACCATCCACACCTGCAATTGCAGCTTGCGTGGAAAGTGGAGTACTACCATTCAACCTTCTAGTTACTCAGACCATCTGCAACCGATCAATTAGCTTCGAGGAGAAGACAGCTGGCTCAGATGAAGGAGTTTTCCTCCTTACCGAGGCTAAACAACTCCTTTCAGCCATCGCCAATCTGGAGCTCCCCCGGTGTCTAGCATTGGTGTGGAGCCAGAGATTGGAACCTGCCGGGGCCCATTATCGTCTTGGCGATAAAGAAGAAGTTCAAGGCAGGATCCAACTCTACGGCACTCATGAGATCCGTCGCGGAACTCCAGAGAACCAGATACTGCAACCACACTATCCGTTACTCCGATGGATCGGTTTCCCGTGAAGGGGTTGGCATCGGCATCACGGGCCCCCAAATGTCCGTACTTCATCGACTTCCAGACCAGTACACTATATTCTCGGCAGAAGCGGTCTCTGCTTTTATTGCTGCTACAACTCCCGCAAACAAGCCGATTGCCGTATTTACGGACTCCGCAAGTGTAGTTCTATCCCTCAATTCAGACACTATCAAGCACTCATGGATCCAAGCCATTCAGCGGTATGCCCCCAGAAACACTATACATTTGTATGGATTCCGGGTCACTGCGGCATTCGTAGTAATACAGAGGCAGATCATCTAGCGGCTTCTGGAAGACAAGCCCAACTGTTTGCCAAGGAGGTTCCATCGAGGGACCTGAAAAAATGGGTTGCCAACAAAATCTAGGACTTATGGTCACATACATGGTCCCAGTCAACAAGCATTTTCCTTAGAAAAGTGAAGGCTGACACACGAAGATGGGAAGACCCCCCTGACCACCGAACTCAGGTTATCCAGACAAGACTCAGAACAGGCCATACCAGAGTCTCGCATAACTTTTCAGGGAGCGGCCCGTTCCGGAAATTTTGCGAGCTCTGCCGCATCAACTGTTCAGTGGAACACCTAATCTGCCAGTGTACTCAATACGAAAGCTCACGAGAGCTGTACGGCATACCGGGCAGCATTAGGGACGCACTGAGCAACGACGCGACTAGAATCTCAGCATTAATGGGCTTCCTCCGCGAGGCCGTCCTCTTCGATCAAATATGAAACCTGCCAAAATCCCGACCACCGCAATTGGCAAATCAAAGTTGGCACTCGTGGAGAATAGAAGAACTATGAAAGTGATGATGGTTTCAAAATTTGCCTCGGGGAGGTATACGAGTGCAATCTTAAAATGCTTTTATTTTGCAAATGGAGCATTTTATTTAAATCTGGTTTGTGCTACAGTGGTAGAAAAGCTGATATCTATGTATACACCTAAAAATCTGAAAAGAAATTAATTTGTCTATATTATTGTCTATTGAGTAGTCCTTAAGTTTTCGACTAATAACCAGTTTTAAATAAAATGCTCCATTTGCAAAATAAAAGCATTTTAAGATTGCACTCGTATACCTTACCGTGTGAAATTTTGAAACCATCATCATTCTCATAGTTCTTCCACAGACAAACAGACATAAATCTCGCAATTGGTTCATCGAAAAAGCATTTAACGGACAATTCAAAAGTATCGTAGTTGGTAGCACCGCCACCTGTCAATTCCCTTGCGTTTGAGGTTTACATGCTACTGCCATCATCTGTTCAACGTAGTGCCCACCACAGTGTACTCAACAGATGGCGGTAATGTTTTATCGACGATGTTTTACAGTGAGAAATATGCTATGTGTTATGTCTGTTTGTCTGTGGTTCTTCTATTCTCCACTAGTGCCAACTTTGATTTGCCAATAAAAATGGACTTTCTATAATGAGAGAGAGAAGGATTAGTATTTTCCATTTAATTCCACTACTTTATTTGCTTATCCTTGACAGATACGCGTATTTCGTCTACAATGTGCAGACTTCTTCAGTGTCTTGTACTAATACTCGACTAGTCGAGTAAGTCGAGTATTAGTACAAGACACTGAAGAAGTCTGCACATTGTAGACGAAATACGCGTATCTGTCAAGGATAAGCAAATAAAGTAGTGGAATTAAATGGAAAATACTAATCCTTCTCTCTCTCATTATACAGGTATTCCACTAAGACGCCCACATTCATCAGGATGGACTTTCTCTTATCACCCAACATCTTAAAACAAAGCAAGATCCTCAGCAACAGTTGCTTACACAGAGAAAAAAAATACCCTATATTTAAGTTCTTTTTACTTAATTTTGGGTAGTTTTGAGTTTTGCATCCCACTCTCACTTTTTGTTGTTGTCAAAAAAGGAACGAGAGGTTCGACTTTCTCATGACTATCGTTCAATAAGCTACTATATTCTCAAATATAGATATTCTCAAATTTGAGTCAATTGAACTTAATTTTCGGTAGAAAGTACTCACGAGTAAGTCATTATTTTTGCCGTAGTCAAATGTAAACTACTATTAGCGGTTTACTGAAAATTAGCTTATTGAACGGAACATGGGAGATGAGTGAAAAGAACTTAATTTTGGGTAACTTTTCGGTTCCGTGTAACAATCAAACAAAAAAAAAAAACCCCGAAGAAAGACAGCTCATTGACAGTCTCAAAAACTTTGTAACTAGATGAGGTCCCTTCTGGACCCCACACAATCTTTTCAGAGACGAACCAGCCAATGGCTGAAAGTCTCTTTAATAAAGAACCTTAATAAAAATGTTATGGTTAATTTGTTTAACGACGTGTTCGGGGTATTATCAACAGTATTATCCAAACCATTTGTGGAATAGTTCAATCATTTGGGTTATCGTTCGTGTATGGTATTTTTTTTATTAGGGAAATCAATCAATCAAAATTTTTATTTCAAATAGACCAATTCGACAGTGAGCATGCATAAGGGCCTATACGCGATGATCGATTCTCTTCGTCGATTTTCTCTTTTGTTAATAACTCGCTAGATTTAACGTTTCTCGATGCGTTTGCTGTTGCTTTTGATAGCCAATACAACCTGTTACTACTCTGCATTGAACAAATTCTAGAAAATTGTTTCGCCTAGCTGTAGCAATGCAAAGAGAAAATCGATGAAGAGAATCGATCATCGCGTATTCGCCCTTATGAATGCTCACTGTCGAATTTATTTACTACATTGATCTATTTGAAATAAATATGTCACTTAACACCGACCCGCTGTGCTCACAATTTGTTGATATACTGTATTTACCTTCTTCGATGTACGCTTTGCTTTCCTCTGACTGTTCGTATTCCTGTGCCGTGACCAGATTCACTCGATAACACCGGGTGCCGATCCACATCAACTGCGGTTTCAATACGTCCATTGCGTTCGGCACTATCAAACTGCAAATTATGATGATTGATGCTTAATCAAATCACTTTTCATAGTCTAAACTCCTCCAAATCACAAAACACACGACCAATTTTTACGCAGTACGAAACCCCGATATGAAGTTTCAGTAATAACATCCAGCTGTCAGAGTTCGGCTTCCGATCGATCGAGCCACAAAAACACACACCCAACTCAGCCCCGCTCCACCCGTTTGGTTTGTTTACAGCTGTTGGTAACTCCTCCCCCGGCGGACAGCCAGTCGCACTCGAAACGTCAGTTTTCACATTTATGTAACGTAATGCAATAAGTTTTTCATGTCTCCGTCCGAAATAAATCGGAAATTGTGTTTTGATTTGCAAATTGTGCTGAACTGATACTGTAATCAACGAAAAAACGAATCATGCTGAGTTCCCTGACCGGTAGAGCCTCTGTGGTAAGCTTTTACACGCGAGTTGCGTTTTTCCCCGAACCAATGTTTACGTTTTTCATTGATTTAGCTCTCGATCGAATTTGCCCAGACCTTGCTACGAAACACTGCCATTAGAGCGTCATCCAGCTGGACCAGCTTCAATCCGACCGAACATCATCTGTTGAAAACGACCACCGCTTCAGCTCTAGTACAACAACAGGCACACTACTCCAACCCATCCAACACATTTCCGACAGCAACTGGAACCACGCCAGCGAATGCTTCTACCGCCGAAGAAGACAAAGGTGGTTTCCTGAAACGGTTCATCAAAAAGATGGGCTGGATCGATAATTCCCGCGTCCGACTGCGTGTTTCCAGCTGTGCATTGTACGAATCGGTAGCCGATAACATCAACTACGGCGAGTTCTTTACCCACTTCAACATGCCGGACACGTTCAATACCTGGTTCTTGATTACGGAGCTGCACGTCTGGATGTTGTTGGTGCGGGCCATGGCTGAGGGTGCCGAGAAGGATGCGGCCGGAAGGTTCCTCCGTAACTGCATCGTCGAAACCATGTGGAACGATGTGACGACCCGGGCGAAGCAACTGTCGGCACACAATCCCTCGGTGGTCAGACCGCAGATTCAGATGCTCTCGGAGCAGTTCCAAGCGGCGCTCATTTCCTACGACGAAGGCATCAGCTTCGATGATAAGGCACTGGCTTCGGCACTGTGGAGACGATTCTTCTCCGGACATTGCAAGGACTACGAAAAGCTGGAACTGCTGGTGAACTACGTGAGGAAGCAGGTTTGTGGGAGCGGGAATTTTATGCAAGCAGTAATAATTATGTGGGGTTCTTTCCTTTTACAGACGGCCATGCTGGACCAGACAAGCCGCTATGATTTCGCTATAAAGCCAAAGGTAAAGTGGCTGCCCCTGATTGAGAAACCTTCAGTATAATTTAAGAATTGTGACTATTTGTAAATACAAGAAAGTTTGCTTGAAAACAAAAACTTCAACTTTGGTGTTTTAAAAAGGAATGTTTTACCCATCATAATATTATTATACGTGCCCGAGAATGCCTATCTAAATAAAATACATAGCTTGTCGTCCCTATTCATGTATTTGATGTGGATTTCCCTTCTTTTTTTGAGATACCTACCGTTCTGATTCGTATTTCGGACATTTTATAATTATATCTTGAAATATCTGTACACCTAGGTATATTTATGATATAAACATTAAAAATATATCACGCTTGTTCCTTTAGTCAGCCCGTGGTTTTACAACATTTTTTATAGGTATATCACAATTGTTCACTGTGAAAAACTATGATTCATATTTCTTTTATTTTTTCCTTGATTTGTTTTCCATCGATCTTGTTTTCCGTGCTGAGCACCAATGCTACCGATTCAAGGGAGGCAGCTCCCACCAACAATTGAAATGGCCTTAACTCCATTTTGTAAACAAACCTTGTAAGGCCATTTTCTTGCGAACCGAAGTCCGCAAAGGCAAACCAACATAATGAACAGGTAGGGGAAATTCTCCTCTACCCGTTTGTGGTTTAGGTTTGCGAATGAAGGTTTCGGTTCGCGAGAAAATGACCTTACAAGGTGGAGTTAAGGCCATTTCAATTGTTGGTCTTGATTTATTTGATTTGATTTATAGGATTAAACGACATTAAACATGAATTTTAATATAACGTTTATGGTAACCTATATGCATAATAAACGAATAAAATGAGATTCTCCAGGGATTGCTATCGCACGTAGCTTGAAAAGCCATGTTCGAAATTGGGAGTCCGAAATTTTAATCAATTCTGTCCGAAATTTTAATCTACTCAAAGGCTAGTGTCCGATGTTTGAATCTTGGTAGCCCTAGTTAAATAACACCTTTTTTTCAAATAGTTTTGATATTTTCTTTAAAATATATCTCAAATCAGCTCAATTTAAAAATACTCCAGCAATGTAGAACAAACGAAACTAAATAATGTGTTACCACCGACAAACCAACATTAATGACCATAGCAAAAGCAATAAAATCAACGACAAACCGACATGAATGACCATAGAAAAAAACAATACAATTTCTGACCAAAGCACACTACTGACATCTGGCTCCGTGTTCGCGGGAAATATTTAGCTAAGCCATGAACTCGCATGCAAAAGTTATGAATTGGTTCGTGTCTGATCTATACTGGACAAATTATGTTTATCTAGATCAAAAAATCCTATGGTTTTGACAGTTCGGATCACTGCACATTTAAATCGGCCGTTTAAGATTTTCGGGCATAAGTCAGAATTAAGTGTCATGTCGGTTTGTCGGTGGTGTTACCATAAAGCAGGCCTGCTCAACTTTTCTAAACTTAAATGGTTGTATGTATCTAGAAATACTAAAAGGAGAGATGAGCGGAGAGAATGTTTTGAGCCAAACGAACATTCCCATTAGATTTTTTCCGAGGATTTCTTATTCTTACTAGATTAAATTTGAGAGTATTGCAATCGAACAGAAATTCAATCACCTTTATGTTTCGTGTGCTTCTCAAATTCAACTAGTGTTTGGAATCAAAAGTAATATTCTAGCTCTATTGATTAATTGATTTTAGTTGGTTTCGTTCTCTCATAAAACATTATTTTTTGAGAGGCAAAACGGCGAAGGTAGCAAAAGAAAAGTTGGTTAAATATAATGGGGCTTATGTTCCGTCAGATTACACAGTCAAATCACAAACGAAGTGGAAGACGGAGAGGCTCGAAAAGCTTTGGTGACGAACCTGCTATTACAATTTTTCAGTGTACCACCGACAAACTGACATGACACTTAATTCTGACTTATGCCCAAAAATCGTAAACGTCCGATTTAAATGTGCAGCGATCCAAACTGTCAAAACCATAGGATTTTTTGATCTAGATAAAGATAATTTGTTCAGAATAGATCAGACACGAACCAAATCATAACTTTTGCATGCAGGTTCATGGCTTAGCTAAATATTTCCCGTGAACGCGGAACCAAATGATGAATTTACGTTACGGTCGACCAGCAGATGGAAATGATGTGAAAAAAATAATGACGTTTTGTTACCTGTCAAATCGTATGGAATATGTTTTAGTACATCATCACTTTTGTGGTTTTGGATTTCAAACCTAGGTGTCGCCGAGGGGGGCGTCACATCTAAATCTCAATTATGGATACTCGAAAAATCTTACACTAGCAAACCAATCTACTAAAAATCTTCTTTCATTTCTCGCATCTACATGCATAGTGCAGCATCTTTTTGCAGGAAATCTTCAGAATCGTCATAAATCTTCTTTCTATCTACTCAGCGTGCGCGCAGCTAACCACGCTAAAACAAAATCGTTTCCGCATCATAGATAGAGTCGTCCCCCTCGGGTGTCGCATGCACTGGTGCAGTTTCGCGTAAATTCATCAGTGGTGTGCTTTGGGCAGACATTTTATTGACACAAAATCAACTTTGTTCAAATCAAAACAAAAATACCAACACCACCAAAGTCACCACCCTATAGCCACAAACGAAGTGACAGACGACTAACTGGCGAAGAAATCCATTTAAATAATGTGGTTCACTGTAATAGAATTTTCTTGGAAGCTTGTGCCATCATCCACCAGATGGGTTAGTTTTTTTTTTGTTTTGATTTGAACAAAGTTGATTTTGTGTACAATGATTCTTTGACAGTGTGCAAAGAGTGCGTATCATTTTGTCATTTTTTTATTCATTTTAAATTGAGTAGAGTGAAAGAGATAGAACCAAAACATTCTAATACATTTGGTGAAAATGCTAGTGCAATCCAGTAGTAGTGTTGCCATGTGGTACAATCTAGTAGTAGTGGTGTTGCCATGTGGTACACTGAAAAATTGAAATAGCAGGTTAGTCACCAAAGTTTTCGAGCCGCTCCGTCTGTCACTTCGTTTGTGGTATTAGGTAGCAACAAACAAGTTTCAAGTTTTAATAGGCGAATCCAATGGAAATTAAGCGATCGTTTCAGCCTCTGGTGGTGAATAAGAGAACAATTAAAAGAGTGATGAGGGCTGAAATTTTCACCGTGAAGCATAGAAAGAGGTAAATGTTTTTAACTTTTCTGATTAGTTTATCCATCGCAGGTGCTTGTAATCAACATCCAAATGGAATATTTTGTTTTCTGTATCGATTTTGGAGTGAACGGCTGGTGCTTCCGCATATTTTTGTTAAGAAAAACGAAGATTTAAGCTGTAAATCCGTTCGAATATGTGAAAAATAATAAAATAAGACCCCTCCCGATGGAAATATGCAAGATACGCGTTATTAGATATGCGTTAATTTGAGATGTAAAATTGTAATTTGGATGTAAACAAACGGTTTGTTTGACGTTTCCTCTAGTAAGCGCATAGCGCACCCTACATTGACTTATGCCCGAAAATCGTAAACTGTCGATTTAAATGTCCAGTGATCCAAACTGTCAAAACCATAGGATTTTTTTATCTAGATAAAAATAATTTGTCCAGAATAGATCAGACAAGGACCAATTCATAACTTTTGCATGCGGGTTCATGGCTTAGCTAAATATTTCCCGTGAAGACGGAGCCAGATGTCACTAGTGTGCTTTTGTCAGAATTTTTGTTTGTTTTTGCTATGGTCCTTCATGTCGGTTTGTCGGTGGTGTTAGTGTTTTCATATTTCAGCCATTTCTACCTATCCGGGAATCTTAAAATAGCTGAAGACTCTTCCCGGGAATCGGGAAATATTTTTGATAGTTATTTATTAAAACTTGAACTTCGTCAGGATTTCCGACAATTTCTGGAAGTTTCTTCCAACTTCCCCGTTGAAGATTTCGACCAGCTTCTTCGGAAGGATTCTTATGATTTCTCTGGGAGGTTTCGTCTGACTTTGCCCGAAAGTTTCTTCCAACATCTCCTGGAAGTTTTTTAAAACTTGTCCTGGAAGAATCTGCAAATGCAGATTTCGTCATTTGTTCAACGGAAGTTTCATCATCTTTTCATTCCAACAGTATCAGATTACAATCAGAAGTCCTACCGCTAGAAGTGGAAACTATTTCCCATTTCATCCGGACTTCCCACGGTAAACTTTTCTGAGTTATTCTGAAAGCTTTATCCGGTTGCCTAAGTTTGCATGGAAGTCTCTTCTAACTTCACCCGGGAATTTCTCACAGATTGTGTCAGAAGCGTCTACCGGTTTCGTTTGGAAGATTCTTCGCCAGGAAGCTTTCCTGACTTCACACTAAAGATTCATCAAACTTTCTCCGGAAATTGCTATCAATTTTCCCCAAAAGCTGTGTGGTCATTTTTAAAATAAAATATGTTTAACATGGTTTTCGTACAAAAAAAACTGCTTCTCGTTAACTAGTTTACTGGGAATCGTGAAATGATAATTCTGGTAAATTGCCCGGGCAGGAAACACTAGATGGTGTGATTTCAAGACTAAGGAAGTAAGAATTTGCCCAAACGTTTTCAGAAGATTAATTTAGCTCATGAAAATTAATACTCAATCTCACAAAATCGGTCAAAGAGGTTTCATATTCTGTTGCACTACATGCCTGGAATGAGGAAACTCATCATTAATAATTACGGTCTATCGTGATAAGCAACATTTTATTTACCAGCATTCATTAAGGAAGAGGGATTTAAATCTCCGAGAATATTTAGCTGGAAAATGTCAGAGTTAGGGTCAACTCTCTCCAGAAGCGTTCGTTGTTTTCCCTGATACTCCTGCAAAAAGACATCAATAGACAAGAGTTGAAAAAGGTTTAACAGGAACAGGTTGAATTTTCATCGTCTGGTGTTGTTGTGTTGATCGATATTTAGCACAAAAGGAGCATTGTTTTTTTTTTTTTTTTTTCTATAAATTTATTTGATAAGGCTCAACCGAATTAACTTTACAGAGCCGAGGATTCTTGTTCACTATACAATACATCTTAAAACTATAGTCAAAAGGTACAACACAATAAACATTTTATCTTCCGCTATCCAATAAGCCTCCTCCACGAGAACGGGAGCCGCTTCCAGGGGTTTACTTGTATGGCAGAGCCAACGAGGGTCAGAGCACTTCCATTGCAGCAATGGACGCAAAACGTGGTCAGCACTCACACATTCATCACGAAACGGTTGTTTTCCAAAGTCGACGACGCATCGACTGAAAGAACTGCTGATGAAGAACAATGAGGAGGACCACACAATGGTTGCTGCCGAGTAAACAGACGATCGCGTGGCACACATTAAGAGTGGTCTGCTTCTGTCGACAGCCGAGTGAACACTCAAAAGGAGCATTGTTGAATAGGGTCTTTTGTTTAACTGTTCATCCCAGGTCAAAATAGGTTAATTCTGGCCAACTTCATAGTTGATTCTATTCTGAAACTTATATGAAGTTTGTCAATGAGCGATCGTCGAAAAGATGTAGGAACCACCACATACCATGTTTTCATACTGGGATTGTCCAGAATCTACCTTTGGATTGACTGGATTATTTGGAATCCCCCCTGGACAGTCATGAATCCCCTCAATATTAAGTGAAATTCTTCCTGTGATTGCCCGGAATCCTCCCTGGGATAGTTCATAGTCTTTGGTTTTTCCGAAGTTACCTTTGATATTGTTGGGAAGCCGAACTGGGATTGTCTGAAATTCCCCCTAGGCTTGTTCGGAATCTCTACTGAGACTGTCATAAATCCCCTTTGCGATTGACTGGAACCCTCCTAGAGATTGTACAAAATCCCCCTGTAATAGAACGTCATCGGCATGGCAGTAAATCAAGACAGCTCTGACTGTTCCGTAAGGTCACCATAAAAATCTTCCATCGATTTTGAGCGGGCAGCTTGTAGTTCCTTTCATACACGTGCAATTTCCCTTTCATTGCTGAAAGATCTTCCCAGTAAAGCATTGCAAGCGCACCGTTTAAAATGTTGTTGCTTTGCTTTGCTTGACAGTATCGGTTGCTATGTATATTTTATGTTGAGCAACGCGAGTTACTCCGAGTTACTCAAAATTAACTCCGATTTTACTCATGATCAAAAGCTGTCTTGCCCCAAGTTTTGTTTGGTTTCAACAAAATAATGGTTTTTGATTCAACAAAATTCGACATTCAAATCAACAATATTCAAGTTTGACCATCAAATGAATATTTTGTCATGTTAAACAGGGTACATTTTTCTGCGTGTGTTACCTAATGAACAAATACCATAAATGAATGATAACCCAAATGGAAGAATTATTCCTCATATGGTTTGGATGATGCCCGAACACGTCGTTAAGGAAAATAATCATTATCGAGGGAATACTGTAATCAGGTTCGTGCCGCGAACGAGGGACAAGACACACTACTCTGTTCACTTTTCAAACGAGTGCCGCTGTATCGAAATAAAAACATTGTCACAACCCAATGAGTTGGATTACCGAGGTAAAGCAATCGGTAAAGTTGTGTGAGTAAAACTCCTATACGATACAAGCAATTAGTGACGTCACTACTTGTGTTTACGTTGATTTTTTGGATTACTAATACAACCATATTTCACGATCTGCATTACCTCTTTCTGGTCACAACCGTCAAAACTAACAGCCTAACATATGAAAAGAGCCCAGGGTGCCAAGATTGACCATCAGTTTCAAATACTGATTATTCGGGAATCAAAACTTATTTACTCAAATCAGCAATATTGATAGGAAGAGGATGATTTTTCTTATCAGATATTGCTATCGAATTGGTTGAACCCAATGGGCGAAAAATTATCGTTTTTGGTCCAATCTCTTCATTGGCTCTTAGGCCATTTTTAGATGTTACGGTTTGTCTGTCTCCGTTCCACAACTCGTTCAACAACGGATTGAAGAAGTTCACAGATGTAAACAATTGAATTTATTAAATCAATAAATAGGTACAAAAGTTTGTAAATACAGTAGAAATCTCAATTATATGCAGTGAAATGTAAGTATACAAGTGAAATAAAATAAAATAGTTAGGCTGCTATATGTTTCACAAGAGCTTATATTGCTTTGTAATTTTTCATTCAAGATTGCGGTAAGATTGTATCGAGTTTTCGCGGCATGCCCCATTCTCATTGAATTTTATTTCGAAGATTACCTACTACATTTTACGAAATTTATTTCATAACTGATTCATTTTATAAAACTTTCTGATGCCAAAGCTCAATAAAATTGTTAAACTTAGGAACATTCTCCTACAATTATTTTAACATTCCGTGAACCGGGATCTTCCACCTAATGGAACATTGGGAAATGGACTTCCACGAAATGCCGTACTCCCTTTAATGGTGACATTCATCTGAAATGCTTAATTTCGCTGATATACCTTCTAGACCTTGGAGTTCGAAAAATTTCAAAGCTAATTTTTTTTTCTGGTTCCACCGGGAGAAATATTTTCATTTGGGGAGAGTATTCTCCGGGACAAAGTCGTACAACCATATCGAAGTAACCCCCATTACCCATTCCAGATGCACATCACCAACATGACCCAACCGAACGGTGAAAGCAGTCAAAACTCAAATCTCTACATGCGCCTGCAGCAATCGCAAAACATGCGAGCCAACATTCAGAACATCTCGCAACTGCTGAACACTGGCCTGAGCCCGGAAGCGCTGGACATATGCGTGAAACTACTCGAAACCGGTGTCCATCCGCAAGCTCTGGCCGAAGTGGTTACACAGATCCGTCGCGAAATGGCAGCCCTCGAAACGGATACGCAGTGATTCCCGTCTTTTCCCCTGAAGGACATTCTTTCCATGATAATGTAAAATTCTACTTGTTGAATAATATAGAGCTTTGAAAGCATGTACTTACGTTGCTTTATTGAACTCAGTCGAACTTGGACATTTTATCGTCCGACGAAACCATCTTAGAGCTTTCTGCAGCTGATGATTCAACGATTTTGGGCGCCTGCTTCGGCTTTTTCTCGTTGAAAGCATATTGCTGGATTCCGGTATCCTGACTTTGTGGGATGGCTTCAAAGCTGGTGAACTCATTCGGTTTCGTAGATGGATCAAACTTTTCTCCGAGTGCAGCAAGTGATATCAGAATAGCTTCCTCCGTCCGCACGGTTCTAGATCCCTGTCGTGGCACGGTATTCAAGTATTCGTCGAACAACTGCTCGACATTGTCTACGTTCAGCTTGTTGTCATTGTCCAAGGCTGGTTCCAGTCCGAGAACTCCCCCAAACACCACTAAAGCATGCTTGAACTTCAAACTCCGTGGCTGCACCTCTTGAACGTTGGTTCCCGTGTCGGATGTTCCGATCGTCAAATCGTAACCTCCTTTGTACGGACTCTTGGTAAACACCTGTGACAGGGAATTTGCAATCCGCACACTGTAGCCCCAGTAGATACCGGTTTCCTGCCGTGGTTGTGCAGGTGGAACCACTTTCGCTCGAATCCTCTTCGACTTAAGATCCACACCCGGTGGCATTTTGACCGTGACCCGCACTCCCGATCCCAAATGGGTATCCACCAGGACATCGTTCAGCAGACCCACGTTGACGAAGGACGATTGTTCGTTCTTAGTTGGTTTGTCTGTAACAATTCCCTCTCGGAATTGGAATTCACTCGCCTGTCTGAGGTGATGCTGGGAATCAAGCGGACTCAACAGACCGCAAAATTTAAGGTCGTTGTGTATGGGGAAGAAAAATTTCCTCAGGTACTGTGGACACTCGAGGTACTGCAGGATCCGAGCCAACTGAACGCAGCAACGACGGGCCGATGTGCTTCCTTCGGATGTGTCTGGAAAATATCAAGAAGTATGATACTTAACACAATCTCAACAATGCGTTGAACAAAACTTACCAATGGTTCCCAGTTTCTCCGTTGCCTGATTGCCGGTGCCACAATCGTCAAACACGACCACTTCGTCGACCTGGAAGATGCAAGCAGCCCGGGCAATCTGTCCGGCCAAGTAGGTGCGCAGCTCCTGCGATTGGGCATTGTCCAGAATCGATCCTGGAACGGCAATGCTCAGTGTTGACACCTGGTCTTTTTCCGCTACCGGTTTCACCTGGATTTCAACCCTGGCTGCTTTGTCCCGTTCCACCTGTTCAAACTCCCGCTGAACCCGCTTCAGCAACTGATCCTGCTTTTTCTTCCGTTTTAGCTCCTTTCGTTGGATCTTTTCCCGTTCGGTTAGCTTTTTCGGTATGGTGGTTCTGGCGCCTTTGCCCGCCGAAGGTTTCATGATTATTGTCGGAAAAAATCACTGATTAACACGTTAACACATTATCAAGTTTTATCAAACAACTATACCGCGACCGCGAGACGAGATGGGAATAAAGGAAAGTCAAATAAACAAAATAAAAACACGTGCATGTTTACAGCGAGAACCGCTGTCAACAAACACCCGGTGACAGATATTGTTCAAACAAATTTAAACAACAAACTGCTACCAACAAACTGGTAAACTGTCAAAACACAAGCCAAAAAAATTAAACCGCTAACGGCGTCACTTGTAGCATTTTTACTAAAATTGCATTGATAGTGCCTAAATATCGTAGAAAAATAGTTAACAGTGAAATGGCACCTCGCAAGCGTAAAATAAAAGTGGTGGTCCCGTGTACTTCGCCGGAGAAGGCCAAGTTCAGCGTTGTCGTCATCCAGACCATTCTCAACGCGCAGGGAAGCGAAACAAACCACGTAAAGTTGATCAAAGAGCTGAAGAACATCTATCCGACGGTGGGTTATTAGATAAATAATAAATACAAATTTTAAATGCCTAGAATACACAACAAGCAAGATTAAGAGTATTCACATAATGCACATCGGTAATACTTTGACGCTCGCAAAAATAATTAAAAAAAAATAATTTTATTCAATACCAGGGTGCATGTGTAATGGAGAAGGTAAGTGCACCAGTTTTGGCCATTCCTCAGACAAACAATTAAATCACAATCTTCGTTCAGAATCATCAGGGCCTATAACCACCGACGAACTATAACGATTTTCTCTTTGTGCTAAGTGTTTTCAATTTGTTTCCAATATAATACAGTAAAAGGAAGCATTAGATAGCAAAAGCAACATAAAACATTAATACAACAAAGTTATTGACAAAAGATAAATCGTAGAAGATAATCGATCATTGCAGTTGGGACCTTATGCTAGAATATGCACCCGATAAATATGAATTGAATCAACAATCTTAACACAACTCATGATCTTAAACTTATAAACAACGTAAAATATCGTCAAAACATGGCCAAAATAGGTGCGTTTCCCCAATACCCATTTATGATAGTTACGTTAGCTTGTAGTTGACTATTTTGCCAGGTCAAGAAAGTATAGTATACATATATTGTTTAAAAACCCTTCACTTAAGCAAATTGTAACAAAAGTAATACGATACACACTTAGGCTGTGTTCCATTTGGTGAATCTTCACTTAAATTTGACAGATGGAAATTTTTTAAATAAACCTGCTATTACACCGGACTTATTTCTGACAGACCCGGAGTGATTTGAGATTTTGGGCGTAATTGCATTTGTAAACAAACACGTTAATTGCCGATTTCTCGCAAATGAAAGCTCAATTTCGAAAACTAATAGCACTATGAGGTGAAGAAACTATTCCTCTTTCATCTGGCATAGCTTGTTTACGAGATTGAGGTTTTAAAAACGAAAAAAACGGTGATTGACGTGTTTGTTTACGCCCAAATCTCAAATCACTCCGGAGACAAGGAATCAATTTTGACAAACATCTTCTCGAAAATTCGACGATTTTTTCGAACATTCTAATTTATATTCGTAGAGTCAAATTTTAGTAAAAAGTCACCAATTATGAGTTACCGTCATCATTCAGTTTCCAGCTACAGGTCGGACTCGATTATCCGGAGTATCGATTTTTTTCACTCCGGATAATCAAATCCTCCGGATAATCGAATCACAAGAAAAAAAATTAAAAATCTGCCCCTCCTCTTAACGATTGTTAAAATAATCATATTGCATATTATAATACAAAATTATTTCAAATGTCTGCATTTTATTATACTATTATTATTATTTAATTAGTTTTTAACTAAAAAAAATACTCCGGATAATCGAGTCTAAAATTCCGGATAATCGAATCCCGGATAATCGAGTCTCCGCATAATCGAGTTCAACCTGTTATCATATTGTATATTATGATACTAAATTATTTCAAATGTCTGATAAAAACAAAAAAAAACGCAAAAAAAAATACTCCGGATAATCGAGTCTAAAATTCCGGATAATCGAACCCCGTATAATCGAGACTCCGGATAATCAAGTCTCCGGATAATCGAGCCCGACCTGTATATAAAAATAGTGTGTAGAGCCTGACAACATATTTAACAAATTATTCGGTTGGTAGCCGAAGTGGTTCGGTAGAAAATTAAACCGAGTTCGTATTATTTTCTAAGTGTGTAGGTTCGAATGTTAAAAGATTCCATTACTACACTCTGAAAAATCGTCACGTCCGATTTACGTGAAAACATAGGTGGTTTTCGTCCACCCTATTTTTCACGTAACTTTTACCGGAATTGCACGTAGCCGACTAAAACTCAGCTTCGATTATCTACGTAATTATTCAGGTAAATAAGACCTGATTTCCACGTACTGCTTACGTGAAATCGAGGTGAAAACTACTGGAAAACTGGTAACTTTTACGTGATATTCCGTTTTGTTTAAAATGCTTTTCACGTAGTTTTTACGTGAATTTTGAATGAGGATAAGGGAACTTATATGTAAAAGCAGTCAATATTATGCAATTTCATCGAACAGATATAAATTCCACGTGTTTAAATTGATACTTATATCTAGGCATAAAATTGCAAATTATTGACTACTAAAAATAAATAGTATAGGTAAAAATGTTAATGAGATTTTTATATTTCTGTCAAAATATTAATAACTGTTGCAGACTCAAAATACTACATATCAGTGCTAACATTTGAAAACGGCGCAAAAGCCATTTGTAAACAAATGGTTTGTGGGCCCTTTACTCGCTACCCGAAGAACGCCCACGCAAACCAACAGCATCGTCAGGAAGGGGAAAATTTCCCCTACCCGATGTTGCTGTTGTGTCGCGTGGGTGTACTTCAAGTAGTGAGTAAAGGGCCCACAAACCATTTGTTTACAAATGGCTTTTGTGCCGTTTTCAAATGTTAGCACTGATATAATCATAAATAAATTAATGTAAATGAATAAAATTACCGTCCAATATTTGTAGCAAGCAGCAGGGAAATTTTGAATTTTTGAGGTGTTCTTCCACCATTCTTTCATCCATGTGCGCTAGATAGAGAAAGACGATTAAACGTCAAAAAGGTCTATGCCGGTGCCGGTGGTTTAGTGCTAAGAGGAAGAGGAGACAATACGTGCATAGAGGTAACTCTAAGACCCGAAAAAACGAGCTCAACTTTTTGGCTCAGCTCTGGTACTGACTTCGGTCCCAAGCTAATCGATGCACCCCTCGAAGCATAGGAAAATCCACGAACCCCTCATTTTATCTGTCAAACTTTCATAGCGAATCAAAACCTGGGACGGGGGGGGGGGGACGTGCTGTCACATCAGCCTACTGATCATTCTTGTATGAAATTGGTTGCAAACGTAAACAAACCCTGTAGGTTTCTTATGGCTTGTTTACGTTTGGAACCAGTATGCGAGGTCTATGTCAATCATACAAGGTCTGGAACAACAGGCAGCTTGCTGGTGTAAGAAGCAAAAATGTTGTAAACATTGCTGAACAAGCCAATGACGATGTCACGGCAGCACAACATTCCATACTGCGAATGGCAGACGTGTCGTCACAGAAAACAGCTGTTTCGTGTAAAAAGAGAAAAATTGCGATGAAATACGAACACCACTAAACATTTCCACATTTCACTAATATCAATAAGCCGGTTGGGCCAGACCTTGTATAATTGACATCAATGCGAGATAAACGACGATTTTTCGTATTTGACAGCCACCTCCCCCCTTGATAAAAAAAAACATAGTGTAGTACTAAAATTTCGACTAGAATTGGGTACGTTCATCGATTTGCTTGGGACCAATAGGCTAGTCAAGTAGTGAGCCAATTTGAAATCGTTAGATTCCACCGGTTGATACGAGGGCAAAAACGAACCACTTTTCTGTCAAACGCGAACCAGCTCGTGATTTTCCGATTTGAAGTGTGTAAGATAGAGATAGAGATAAAAAAAAAGTAAGAAGCCAGTTGTCTTATCTTCCTCTTAGGTTTAGTGGTAACCGTGACTGCTTTCTCACCCCAATGGGTCTGGGTTCAATCGATTCAATCCCAGCCGAGGTCGGTGAGATTTTTCTGAGGCATGCAAATATCTGGTCACGTCTTCGTTAGGAAGGAAAGTAAAGCCGTTGGTCCCGGCCCATGTGTGTTGAACGGGTGAGATATCCTACGCAGGTGTGGAAGCTGCCTTCCTGCACATTCGATTGCCATCAATGTCCGTTGGTAATTGGCACTAGATTGCGAAACAGAGAGCGACGTTAAATAAAGGAATGAAGAAGACGAAGAAGAACCTTTGAGTATCGAAGTCATAATTTCTAGACCAACAATTGAAATAGGCGGAACAACCAAACGTAAACAATAGCTTTAAAAGCAAATTCCTCGAGAATCAAAGCACATCCAAGGAATCTAACATAATCATCTGATAGAGCAAACTTCCTTTATCGAATGACATTGTTATGTCGTTTTCGATTTTGCGGTGTAGCTACACCGGTGCTACACTGTCGTACAACGAAATATTTTAGGGTGTAGATATAGGATGCACCTTTGTTTACAAATAAATGATGTTGAGCTGTCAAAGCCTCGCGCTTATTCCTGCTTACACTACACCAGTGCTACACCGCAAAAACGAAAACGACATTAGTTTGTGTGGGAGTATTTTAATTCTCGAGAATTTTGAGTTTAAAGCCATTGTTTACGTTTGGTTGGTCCGCCTATTTCAATTGTTGGTCTAGATTTGTGTTTGTCCCTTCGTGGCTGGATCTTCATTATCGCCTATGTTTTTGTCAATATTAATATTCGTCTTCATCTTGGTGGGTTTGATTTTTTTCATTTTACACAAATATAACGCTGTAGAACGTGTTGTGTTGGTTCGATGGATCGATGGAAAATTATTGCCTCATGCTGAGCTGATGATAGTATCGAGGTTTTAGTCTCTGGGGTCAACAATATTCAAAATAATCATTTTGCCCAAAATTAAATTGATTATTTTCAACGGCCTGACACGCTGCCATCTTTTCGTAGCTAGCATAAGAACGTGCTCACATATCAATCTCGCTATAGCTACTTGTTATTAGTAGACATATGGGTGTCACGTTTCACCTCCTTGATTATTTTGCTTTTGAGGATCGCTTCTAATTTTGACAATTTTGGGTTGGATAATCAAGCACTGGTGAATAAGAAGCTGCACCGTCGGGTTAACCTCACGTTTTTGATATCGGGTTTAATGGTTTTTTTTTAGGTTTTTTGAACGAACGATGCGCAGTGGTGGTTTGTTTACCTTTGCCTGTTAGTCGATTCAAGTCTCCTTCCCGATATTGGTATTGGTTTGCGTGGGCGTTCTTTGGTTCGCGTGAAATGCACTGAACCAATATGACATATTCCTGTTATGTGGAAATCTTTTAAATTTGCGCTATAAGATAATCCATTGAAAATTATATGATTGAAAATGTGCCAGGTAAATTCTATATGAATATCTGATACATTTACAATGCTGATAATTTGGTAACTTCTATATGATCGTCCTATGATAAATGAAAATCGATCAAATTATAATAATTAACTGAAATGGATTTGAAACCCATAAGCATAAGCTACACTTTTCACCACAATATAATATATGTGTCATAAATCAATCGAAGTAAAGTTTGTGTGAAAGTCACATGAAATTTACTTCTTCTTTTGACACATATATTTAATCGATTTCTAAAAATAAATCGAAAAATAAACATCAGGCAGTGGGAGCTTTCACAGTTGTGCCTTTTTTTATTGTAGCTGATTTGGGATTCGATCAAGGGCTGTTGAGGTGTGATGCTTTCGGTGTCTGCGCTCGATTTCACTGGGCCACGACTGACTTCAAGATTGAGCTCGTTCAAATAGCATGAAGTAAGAACAGCTCTCCCGACATGGAATGCAGTGCAACGTTATGCTCGTTTTGCTAGAGTGAAGACAAATAGCACTGACAAATTTATGTTCCGTTTCGGTGGTGTGGTTTGTTCAAATCTTTCTTAATGCACCTGTGTGCAATAAATCAACGACTAAATTATATAAGTTGATGTAACTGGTTCATGAAGTTCGAGTACTAGGGCTGGAATCTGAATTAGCCGTGTAGAAGGCTTACAATTAGAATCATAGCAAAGTAAATATTGCAGTAGAATCATTTTTTTTTTCAATCTCAATACATTCTTTTCCGGAAACAAACAAAGATTATTCAATACAGTATCATTGTTGTTAGTAGTATTTAGTTCAACTAATCATTTTAATGAGTGTACGATAACATCGTTGAAAATTGTTTCAATAATTTATAAAGAACAATCATGTAAGATGTATTTTATTGGGAGCGATATTCAGCCCAGAAAAACATGCAAAAACAAACGTTTGCTGTTGGATTTCTTAAAAGGCATATCTATATGACTATTAAATGATTGGGATGGATCTGTTTACAATCTTTAAACCTCAAAAATCAAAGGAAGCTATTCCAATGAGATATACATGTTTTCCTGAACTGCAAAGTTAAATGACAGTCCAATAGTTTCTTCATGTCTGTTTACACGCGACATATCAACAAACGTCAAAAATCATTAAAAGCAACTCCAATAAAATATACATCATTATCTTATAAGATATACATTTTAGTGAGCAATATTCATCATGAAAACAGGTATATTTTACTGGATTTTCTCATAGTGCAAACTTATATGATTTTCCATTAGTTTCTAGATGTCTGTTCCCACCCATAACATATCAACAGTTTTTCACCATGAAATATATCAGACAATATTCATATACTTATTACCTATCGCTAACCACGTTCGAAGCAAAGTATTATCAAGTACTAAGTATGTGAAATTACGATAGAAATCATTCCATATCGCAGTCATAGTTTTTAAGTGATAATCCAATGGAATCTATCAATCATCACATAGAATGAATAAATCTGCTGACATTGCTATGTTATAAGATGGATCCAATAAACGGTACATGTCGATTTGTTTCAGTGTGGGCCTAACAGGTTGTTTAAAACAGTTGATAGGCCATTTTATAAAGTTACGCGAGCATAACGTCATGTGTTAATTTTTAGTAAACACAGCACCTTTCAAACGTCAAATTTGTTCTTGCAGTTCATTCCGTGCATTGGTCAATAGGGAGCTACACATGGCTACACCACCGACGAACCGATATGCCACAGGAGCATTTCGTTTGTCCACAATTCGAGATGTGAAACGAGCGATTCGAACTTTCAAACGGGCGATCAGATCTGTCAAACGAGGTGATACGCAAACCAAGGCAATATAAATTTCACGTGGGTACGTGTCCTTGCTCATGGTATGACGCGATCGGATGAGTAGATGTCGGTAGTGTTTAACGTATTTTAAATATGGCGTCTTGGGCACGAATTTAAAAGTAGCTTATGTGAGCTGTCACGTCGGTTCGTCGCTGGCTGCACAGTCGGGTTAACCTCACTTTTTTTTTTCATCCGACGGTGATTTGTTTACATGGAATTAGAAAAAAATTAATTGTTTTATTAAATGTCTTTTTAGATTTTTTAGAAAGGAAGATTTTCAAAAAGAACATAGTTTCATTTCACTCTTACGTGACAGCGAAGATTGTCAAAACAAACGCAATTCATCTATACTGGGTTATAGCGGTACTTCTTGCGTGTGATGGTAAATCAAGAACAACATGTGAAAAGGTCATCAAGCTTTCTGTGAACAAACCTTCTTATTCTCTTTGCTCGCCCACGAAAAGCATGAACATCACATGGTAAGGGATACTTTCCCCTTCCCGATGATGTTGTAGGTTTGCGTGGGCGACCCTCGGTGGGCGAGAAAAGGGCCTACAAATGTTTGTTTATAAAAAGCTTGTATACCCTTTTAGCATGTGGCTCTTGAAATGATAAAAACAGACACTGCTAGGAACGACGAAACAGCGAGATTGATCGTGTAATCATCGCTGTAGCAAGGGGTAATCAATTCTGCACACTTTGCCAAAACACAGCATGGCACCATAGAGGCAACTCTAAGACCAAAAGGTCCCAAAGAAAGGTGCTCAACTTTTTGGCTCAGCTCTGGTACTATCTTCGGTCCCAAGCAAATCGATTCACCCCTCGAAACATAGGAAAATCCACGAACCCCTCATTTAATCTGTCAAACTTTCATAGCGAATCACAACAAACGTAGTGTACTCTAATATGGACCAACAGGTCTGTGCCATAAAAAGGGAGAAAAAAAAAAAAAAAACGTAGTGTAGTAGAATTTCGACTAAAATGGAGTACGCTTATAGATGTACTTGGGACCAATAGGCTAATCAAGTAGTGAGCCAATTTTAAATCGTTAGTTTCCACCGGGATGGCACATTGTTCGGCACGTTAGAGTAGAACAAAGAATAAATAAAATAAAATGGCATCACTGTTGAGTGTTGCTGCTAAGTTAATAGGTTCGAAGATTGTGTGACATGCTACATTTTGAAAATCTGTACGTATTTTTTTTTGCTCCATTAATCCTTTCAATGTAACAAAACACATTACATCTAATCTTATTCGCAGCGAAAACCCCTATGGATTGTGGATTGTGGTTTTGTCCAACCCGAAAAATTCCTAGACCGGACCGGGAATCGAACCCAACCACCTCCAGCATGGTCTTGCTTTGTAGCTGCGTCTTTACCGACTGAGCTAAGGGAGGCCCCACAAACACTCATAGCGATGCCAACGAAAATAGTTTTAAGTTTAAGCTTAATAGGTCTAAAAAAGTCATGCCTGGTGACCTAGTTAATAACTTCTTGAGAACTTTGCAATACTTCCAATGAGGACCGATGACGAATGTGAACGGAGACTGTATGAAACCTAGCCTTTAGTTAACAAATAAGACCCCATTGCCAGTTAGACCTTTCGAAAACAAAATCCTGCCGAATTAAAAGCTCCAGATACATAATTTCTTGCCCTCACATATAAGAATCGTATTCACTAAAATCCAGGAATTCCATCAAAGGTCCGTTGCAACTTCACCTTTTCCCATCTTCTACCTTCTCCCCCCTCAGGTCACCCATGAATCTTTCATGCGGTCCTTCATCCAATCCCTGAAGGGTGCCATGCAACATGACGAAACGAACGAATATGCCAACAATCGGCTCAAGCTGTGTGCCAAATTCATCGCAGACCCCGACCACAGCGAGCAGGAGGTGACCCATCCGATCATCATTATGGCATTCGAATGGCTATTGAACACCATCAGTCCTTCAGCGATTGTGCGATTCCGTATCTGTCAGTTCGTCAACCTGGTGCTGAATGCGATGGGCCCGGAAGCATCGTTGGACGACGACATCTGCGACAAGATCCTACGCTACATGCTGGAACGAATGCGCGATGTGGCACCGAACGTACGCGTCCAGGCGGTGCTGGCCCTACAGCGACTGCAGAACCCGGACGATCCGGAAGATTGCGTTTTTCGGACGTACATCTACCATCTGGATACGGATCCGTCGCCGAAGGTGCGGCAAACGATCATCTCTTCGTTGGGTCGAAACTACCGGACCATTCCGTACATTATAGAGCGGCTGTGGGACGTGGAGGAAAGGGTTCGTCGGCATACGTACATGCAGATGAGTAGCTATCCGGTCAAGCAGTATAAGGTGGCTCAGAGGTTGACGTTCCTGGAGCAAGGGTTGAACGATCATTCCGAGGCGGTCAGGAAGGTCGTTAAGAATGTTATGATTCCGCAGTGGTTCGAATCGTACCAGAAGGACTACGTGGCGTTCGTCAAGGCTCTGAAGATCGATGCCGATGAGAAAGAGCTGGAGCGATTTCGCAATACCGGGAAGTTGGCACTGTTTGAAATTTTCTCGTAAGGATTATTGGAAATCTTATTTGAATGCGCGTTTTGAGAATTGTTTTGAACGTTTCAGGAAATACGGCATCAATGACGCCATGACCGTGTTGGGGCTTCGGGAGGATGACAAAACCGTACCGCTGGAGAATTTAACCATCGAAACGGCTATCTGCTGGCAAGCGCTGTTGGAGTTCCTGCAAAAGACGGAATCGGATGAGTTGGACAATCTGATGGTGGATCTGTCGACGTTCTGCAACTATATTAAAGTGTAAGTTTTTTTTTTTTATTACGTTCTGCCCTGAAATGCTAATTGGTTGATTTCAATACTACAGATTTGCTGAGAACCCCTCGTTGTGCAACTACATTCGCATGTTGGCGGACGATCCGTCCATGATTACCGACAAGATGCAGAAGATGTACTTCCAATCGATGCTGCAAATCTTGCTAGAGATTGTCGACTCGTACGACTACGGTGACGAATTCGGGCGGGAAACGTTGAAGAAGATCCTGGCGGAGGCGCTTTGCTGCTGTGAATTGGACGAAGACAACGTTAAGATCATTCTATCGATCTTCGAGCGCCTCATCGGCGACGTGGAAATGCGTTTTAAATTTTTCGTCGATTTGATCAACAGCGTACTGGAACCTTCGCGGACGGATGTTTCCCATTCGTCCCGCTCGTTGGTGGAGGAGTATCTGGAGAAGAATCCCGACAAGAGCCTTCAGATGAAGATCAGTCATTTGCGGTTGACGATCATGGATCTGAAGGAACAGGAAATGGAGAAGGTCAATCAGAAGGACTACACTGGTGCGCAAAAGGTAGCCGAACAGCTGCATGCAGCGAATGAAGAGTATGCTACGCTCTTGAAACCGATTCTGTTTGCGGTTTCGTCATCCAGCGAGGGATCTTCGCTGTTCCGAGAGTCGATGCTGAAGCCGAAGAAGATCACCAACGCGACAATCAACAAGTGTCTGCAAATATCGTTCTATCTGGTTAACAATTCGACGGTGCTATCGTTGACTCCGATCGTGTGCGATTTGTACAAGTCCTTCATCAGCCGCTACGTGGAATCGGCTGAGATTGCCACTAGGGATTGGGCTTTGCGTTGTTCCGTGGCTTTCAGTATGCTGTACGATGGACTGTCCAAGGAAACATTCCAGTTGCTGTATCAGCAGTTTTTCCGCAATCATTGTACGAGAATTTGGCAAACGTCGATCGAAGGTATCTTTGAACTGATGGACCATTATGGGTTTGAACATTTTGACGTCGAAGCCAAGAAAGATGAGGCGAGGAAAAACACTCGCCAGTTGTTCAACACGAGGGATTACCTCGATCAGGATGATGAGGCGAGTACATCCAACACCGGAACGGGTGTCGATTTGATGCGTATGATGACGCACTTTTTCGAAACCTGTGAGGACAACGTGATCTGCTCAGCCATCGTGGACGGCTTCTGTCGGTTGATTCTCCATGGCCACTGCACCTCACAGGACATCATGTCCAAGCTGTTGCTCAAGTACTTCAATCCAACCACTGAATCGAAAACGCAACAAATTTTGGGCATCTTTTTCGAATGTCTGATCAAGAAAAAACGCCAAGAGATTCTACAGAAGGCTCTACTGCACACGCTGTTTACCATTCTGGAGTCGCCGAACGACAGTCCGCTGCAGGAGGTGAAACCGGAGCACGTGCTGAAGTTTGTAATCGATTCCACAAAACCGGTCTTCTGCAGTCCGGGACTGAATCCGCACAATACAATCGCGATATCGTTCCTTCAGGTAAAAGCATGCATACAATTATTTTTCCTTCTTCATCTTTGGCTTTATTACGTGTCTATTAGGACTTAAAGTCGGCCTTCAACTTTGTGTTCTTTGAGTACTTCCACAGTTGTTAATTAAGAGCTTTCTGAGCCTTTACTATTTTTGCATTAGTATAATCATACTCTGTGCCCAGGGAAATCGAGAAACGTTTCAACTCGAAAAATTCCTAGACCAGACCGGGAATCGAACCCAGCCGCCTCCAGCATGGTCTTACTTTATAGCTGCGCCTTTACCGACTAAGCTAAGAGAGGCACAATTTTTCCTTAAAAACCTTGATTGCTTCACCTTTGATTGTCTTACAGTCAGCTAGTCCACATATAAAGCGCTTGGTTTCAAGGTTATCATAAAATATATTTCCCCTCCCAATATTCAACTTTAACTTGAAAGTTGATATTATACAGGTTTTTCATCTGCAAACGTAGGTTTCATTGCTGTTATTACCTATTCGCGTATAGTATGCTTTGAGAAAATAAATACTCGACATGCCTTTCAACGTCTAATAGCAAATGAAAGCAAGTTCTTATTCCAACAATTCAAATCTTTACATTCAACACCTCATTTCAGGTCATGCTGGACAACTTAAATTACAAAGATCTGCTCAAGCTGCTCAGTAAAGAGCTCCTTACTCTGGAAATCTCCGACGACGCGGTACTTAAGAACGACATCAACAATTGTATCGAACAGATCCTTCTGGAGAAATCGCTCGACGTGAAGATTATCAAGAATCTCAAGGACTTCGAAGAGATGCTTCAGGGCACCTACCGGGAATCACTCACATTCTCCTCATCTCGAGCTCCACCGGTAGCCATCGCCGAAGAGCACGATACCGATCATCTTTCGGAACCCGAAGAACATCCGGAGGTCGCCTTGGAGGAAGAAGAACCGACCCTTCCCAAAGATCCCAAGGAAGTGCCTCAGTTCAACAAATCTTCACTGCAGAAAGATGTCAATGTACTAGCTGCATCCTCCCCGGCAAAATCCAGTGCTGCTCCCGAACCGGTTTGCCTGACCGTTCCCCAAACTCCTACCACTTTTGGAGCAGAAAACACAACCGGAATGAAATCCCTTCGCAAATCAATGAACGCATCCGAAGGCGCCGTGGTCAGAAACGTTTTCAAGGTTCCGGATGCCAGCGCTGTAAAGAATTTACGCCAACAGCAGCAGAAAGCTGCTGCGGAAAAGAAAGCCCAACAATCCAGCGACATAGACAGGGACACCGAGAAGGAGAGCGATGAATCGGAATTTTCGGAAGAGGAAGACGCAGTTGCAGCCGCAGGAGCGGAGGAATCTTTTGCCATTCCCTCGACGCAGGATATTTCCGGAATATCTACCCTTGATGGGGACAGCTCGATTCTGCATCTGGAGATTCCAGAGACGCAGCGTCCCATGGAAGAACAGTGTACGCCAATTCAACGAACGCTTTCCAAGAGAAAGATATCCGATAGCTCTATAGAGGATGAAATTGTCGATTCTTCACCTAATATAGTGGTAAAGTCAATTAATTGAGTAAGTACTATTTTTCTGATTAACCTCTACAACACTTCCAGACCAGTCGCCGGGACCATTCGATCTTACGCCCACTAGCTTCGGCCAAGTCAATTACCAAGTCGCAAAGTGCCATCAAGTACGATCAGCATCGAACGCGAAACACTGCTCTAAAGGAGGTCATCAGCGCGAAAGTAATGACTAGAAGGTCCCTCACGGACGTAACCAGCGGGAGTAAAGGAGCTATGGGAGGAAGTCTGGCTGGCATTGAACCGCTGGAGAAGAGCCCCCAGGCAAGAAGGAGAACTCGTAGCTCCATTGATGATGACGGTAAAACTTCCGAAAAATCTAAGAAGAAGGATAAAGATGAACCAGTGACTTCTACTGTTGCAATTAAAACTGCCCGGAGGCTAGAGCTGAATCAAGAAAAAACTGATTCCGCCAAGAAAGAAGCGGCCAACAAACCGAAAGAATCAGCAGAAAAGCCCAAATCGTCGAATAGAAATCAATCGACCACAGCTACGAAGAAAGCTGAAGAAGCAAAAACTCATTCTTCTGCTTTAAGAACCAGCAGAAGGAACCCGAACAAAGACGATTCCCCTGCAATTGTGTCGTCCAAGAAAGACACCACAAACCGAACGACTGAGAAAAAGTCAGCCGAAAAATCCTATTCGGAAAAGACCACCTCTTCCAAATCACCGCCACTACCCTCTCGAACAACTCGAAGATCGTTGGAAAAAAACAACAGCTCTGCTTCCACTGCTAGCAAAACCTCAACACGTTCGGTCACTAAAACCGCACCTTCGGGGAAATCCACTCCTTCCCGTCAGAAAACCCCTCAGGATTCCCCAGCTGCTTCAACATCATCCACATCCGTATCCACCAAGTCTCGGACCAGCCTCGGCAGCGGAAGCACCACCAGCGTCGGCGAAAGCTCTAGCTCCAAAAACCTAGTGAAGCGTACCATGGTTACTCGCAGTTCCAGATCATCGCCGGGGAAGCTGTCGGTTTCGTTGATCAGTAGTACTGATTCGTCGGCGGCAAGTCCGGTGCGTACCAAGCGGACGGCACTAACGCCACTGAGCGCCGGTACTGACACAAAAATCCCTGCGAATCCGACGAGACCAGCCCGGAAAGCAACTAAAAAGTAGAGATTAGGTGTTGATTAAAGTCTATTGTGGTTTCGGTGGTCTAATACCTGGTGGAAAATGTGTCAAGATTTTTTTTCTGAGTGTATTGTTCGTAGCTAATGCCATTTACTTTAATAATAAAAACAAATATATTTTCTAACCGCTGGACATTCTTCTTTCTGAGACCAGAACATTGATCACCGAAAAATTTAGATAGCATGGCAATCCCATGAGATAACGTACCATCAATGCCACAACAGGTAGCTTTATATATATACATATACAAATATACCTAGTTGTACCGAATACCGAAACAGTTTCTCAATTGATCAGAATGAGTAGCACGCAGGGATTCGCCCAGCAGTCACAGTCATTATGAAACATCAATGAGGACGAAGTTATGGTATCTTTCAAAGCTGTGACCCTCTTGTTAGGCAACGGCTCGCTGCATCATATCCGCCCAAAGAACGAGGTTTACTCGACAGGTAGTGGTTTCAATTGGTCACTTCAGCGCTCGGATGTACAGGTTGTGTCCCATCTCCAAGCGTTCAAATGAAGATGATTTTTTTCTGATCACTTGTAGTTCTTGTTCTTTATTGTTTTCTTAACAGCCTGACTAACTCAGATAATAAATTAAATGAGTATTTACGATAATGGCCTTGGAATAGCACTTTTATGATTGAATAATGATTCAAGAAACGTAGACAGCATAGAGTGGTGTTATTCAGTATTCTAGTTCTTCATTGTAAATCTGATTGACAATAATATTGATGATGTGAATACAGAAATATTGTCAATCTCGATATATTGACGTCAATATAGAATGTATTGACAATACGATTATTGTCAATAAAAGCAATCGTGTAGGGTCACAAGAGTAAAGACGTCAAACGCAACGTGGCCATCAAAGCAACACTGACAGTAACAGTTCCTAGTGGGACTAACATGCGTAGAATTTCCTACTTTAGTGCAAATTTCTAGGCATAACAGTCCCATTAAATATTGTTCGTATAAAAATAGGCTTGACTGATTTCATTGAAGGTAATTTCTATAGTTTTCACTAAAACATATTGATTCTGTTGAAATGTGAACAATACGCTAACTTATTTTAACGTATATTTCTTCCAATGAGCAGAAATTATTCGAAACATTATTCGCCATTTTCTCAGAAGCAACTTTTGAAACATGGGACTGATATGCGTAGAACGGCAGTACAACAAACGTGAAGTTCCAGTTTCTTTGTTTTAAGTTTTGTGATATCTGTACTCATGAAATTTTTATGTGGTTATGAGATTGATCAGAAATAAGGTTTCCTCAGCGATTCAACTTCAAAACGCTAAAAATAAATGCACACACAAAAACGGAGTGCACAATTTTGCACCAATGTTATGCAACTTTTCATAGTTGATCGGGATGATATCAATTAGCCATGAAGGCCTCCAATAAGTTCTCGGTACATCTTTTATCTACCGATTGCACAAATAAAAAAAATACTAAGGCTGTGTTCCATTTGGAAAATTTTCACTTAGATTTGACACTTGTTGATTGGCCGATTTTCGAGAAAGCGTCTGTCAAAATTGATTCGTTGTCTGTCTGAAATAAGTCTGCTGGAATAGCAGGTTTATTTGAAAGTTTTCCATCTGTCAAATTTAAGTAAAAATTCACCAAATGGAACACAGTCTTAATAACTTGAGCACAGAATCGTTTCTTGTTGTGTTTGTCGTATTAGATGCTAGATAAAAACTTCTTTTATCGATATGTGTGCTGAAAATACCTGGGCCGAGTGGATTCAAGGAGAAAGTCGACGAAGAGAATCTTGAGAGTGTTACTTAGGACGTTAGGACCTAATGCAATGTTCAGCTTGAATTGTTTCGCTTAGCTGTAGCAATGTAAACAGAAAATCGATGCAGAGAATCGAACATTACAAGTAGGCCCTTTTGAACGCCCATTGTCGAATTTCAGAACCTAGCACTGAAAAAAAACTCGACGGTACCTCTATTTATGCTTAGAGATAAGCATTGCAAGTCCCTCCTACTTGAAGAATTATGCAATCGAATGGCTTGCTATGCCTCGCCCCCATCAGCAAAAAAAAAACTGGGGTTGTATAAACCGTTCTATAGCATAATTTTCCAAGTAGGAGGGACTTTTATAGCTAATCTAAAAGCATAAATAGAGGTACCGTCTGATAATTTCAGTGCTTGGTACAGAAAACTGTAATCTGTGTATGAAAATCCTTTTTATCACCACAGAAACACCCCGTTCCCGTTTTTTTTATGCAAAATAATGAATGTGCGTTCACAAAACGCACGAAATCATAAAAAAACCATACTAAGATTTTTTTTATTTCAATCAATAGATTAAAGATGCACCGAGAATTAAATGGAGGGATTTCAAGCTAAAATGTTCTGATCTCGAAATATTGACTATCCATACCGAAGTTTCGCATAAATGTACAACCCGTGTTGTGTGGTTTGTTGCTGATTTTCAGTGTTTCCCAATGATTAGGGAACATTCATAGGGAGGAGAGGAGTTTCAAAAGTTGGGACCGGCCATGTATTAGGTGTAATGCAAAACACGCTCCGAGGGGGAAGGGGGGTTAATTGGTAAAAAAAATATACGTAATTTATGGATGGCGTATACGTAATTTATGGCAGGCCCAACAAGCCGCCCTGAAAAAAAAAACAAAGTTGCAAATACCGAAGAAAGAAATACGGATCGGAACAATCGGCACAGACCTACGCGACGAAATAAGGACTACGGTTGGAAACTCGGAACATGGAACTGCAAATCGCTCGGCTTCCCGGGTTGCGATAGGTTAATCTATGACGAACTTCAACCACGCAACTTCGAAGTCGTAGCACTGCAGGAACTTTGCTGGACGGGACAAAAGGTATGGAAAAGCGGGCATCGAGCGGCTACTTTCTACCAAAGCTGTGGCACCACCAACGAGCTGGGAACCGGCTTTGTAGTGCTGGGCAAGATGCGCCAACGCGTGATTGGTTGGCAGCCGATCAACGCGAGGATGTGCAAGTTGAGGATTAAGGGTCGTTTCTTCAACTACAGTATCATCAACGTGCACTGCTCACACGAAGGGAGACCCGACGACGAGAAAGAAGCGTTATATGCGCAGCTGGAGCAGGTGTACGACGGCTGTTCGCAACGGGACGTCAAAATCGTCATCGGCGACATGAACGCTCAGGTAGGACGGGAGGTAATGTATAAACCGGCAATCGGGCCAAACAGCCTGCATGCCGTATCGAACGACAACGGCCAACGATGCGTGAATTTTGCAGCCTCCCGGGGTATGGTAGTTCGAAGTACCTTTTTCCCCCGCAAGGATATCCACAAAGCCACCTGGAGATCACCTGACCAACACACAGAAAACCAAATCGATCACGTTCTAATGGACGAGAAATTCTTCTCCGACATTATCAACGTCCGCACGAACCGCAGTGCGAACATAGATTCGGACCACTACCTAGTTGCAATATGCATGCACTCAAAACTCTCGACGGTGCATAACACACGTCGAAGTCGAACGCCTGGACCCAACATTGAGCAACTACGGGACGCCGGAGTTGCCCAGGACCAGTCTTGTAAGCGGTCACGGTAGTCGACACATTTTCTGTGATAATTGACTGCCTTTGCCTCCGACACTTGCAAAACAAGCTATCATAGTACAGTACCAAACTAAAATGTCATATGAAAGGCTCTGTCATACGACACTGTCGCCGAAGACTGTCACGAATGTATGTATTTTAGTTTTTCTCATAATAAGAGCTGCTGATGGTGTGCTTGTGTGAATTCTGAAAATAGCAAGCAATGATGTCCTAGTAATAATATTTCTGATCAGAAATGGTTTGATTTACACCAAATTTAGGAATTACAACGAAATCACACATGTCATATGATAGCTATTTTGATAATTTTCGTTTAGCTCGAATGTTATTCTACCGCTCGTGTTGTGTGAGAGAGACGACGGTAGAGCATGAGTGTTCGAATACAAACAGACTGTCGCGCACGACAACGAAGCGAGTGTAGTAAAAAACGTCAACTGTTTCAACCCCTGCCCAGGACTACGCGCAGCAGCTGGAAGTTGCACTACCCACGGAAGAGCAGCTTGGCGCAGCTTCTCTTGAAGATGGCTGGATGGACATCCGTTCAGCCATAGGTAGTACTGCTGCAGCGGCACTAGGTACTGCAATCCCGGACGGAAGAAATGACTGGTTTGACGGCGAATGCAAACTGTTAGTAGAGGAGAAGAATGCAGCACGGGCGAGAATGCTGCAACACCGCACGAGATTGAATGTGGAGCGATACAGACAAGCGCGGAACAGACAAAACTCGGTTTTCCGAAGGAAGAAGCGTCAGCAGGAAGACCGAGATCGCGAGGCGATGGAAAATCTGTACCGCGTAAACGACACACGGAAGTTCTACGAGAAGCTAAATAGTTCGCGCAAAGGCTACGTGCCGCAAGCCGATATGTGCAAGGACTTGGACGGTAACCTTCTCACGAACGAGTGTGAGGTCATTGAGAGGTGGAAGCAGTACTATGACCAGCACCTCAACGGTGAAGCAGCAGAAAACGAAGGTGGCACGGCAACAGACCTTGGAGCACGCGCAGAAGACGACAGGCTACCGGCCCCCGATCTTCAAGAAGTTGACGAGGAGATTGGTCGGCTGAAGAACAACAAAGCAACTGGTGTAGATCAACTACCAAGTGAGCTATTAAAATACGGTGGTGAAGCACTGGCTAGAGCGCTGCACTGGATAATTGCCAAGATTTGGGAGGAGGAGATATTACCGGAGGAGTGGATGGAAGGTGTCGTATACCCAATCTACAAAAAGGGCGACAAGTTGGATTGCTGTAACTACCGCGCGATCACACTGCTGAGCGCTGCCTACAAGGTACTCTCCCAAATTCTATGCCGCCGTCTGTCACCATATGCAAGAGAGTTCGTGGGGCAATACCAGGCGCCAGGCGGGATTCATGGGTGCCCGCGCTACCATGGACCAAATTTTCGCGATTCGGCAGGTTCTGCAGAAATGCCGCGAATACAACGTGCCCACACATCATTTGTTCATCGATTTCAAATCCGCATACGACACAATCGATCGAGATCAGCTATGGCAGATTATGCACGAGTACGGACTTCCGGATAAACTGACGCGATTGGTCAAGGCGACGATGGATCGAGTGATGTGCGTTGTTCGAGTGTCGGGGACACTCTCGAGTCCCTTTGAATCTCGAAGGGGGTTACGGCAGGGTGATGGACTTTCGTGTCTGCTGTTCAACATCGCGTTAGAAGGTGTGATCAGAAGAGCTGGGATAGACACGAGTGGCACGAAATTCAGGAAGTCCATCCAGCTCCTTGGCTTCGCCGATGACATTGACATTATGGCAAGGAACTTTGAGATGATGGCGGAAACGTACATCAGACTGAAGGCTGAAGTTAGACGGATTGGACTTACCATCAACGCATCAAAGACAAAATACATGAAAGGAAGAGGTTCTAGGCAAGACAATGTTAGCCTCCCACCCCGAGTTCAGATTGACGGTGACGAAATCGAGGTGGTCTATGATTTCGTGTATTTGGGCTCACTGGTGACCGCCGAAAATGATACCAGCAGAGAAATTCAAAGACGCATTATGGCAGGGAATCGTGCCTACTTTGGACTCCGGAGGACGCTCCAAGACGCTGATTAGATCGGTGGTCCTCTACGGCTACGAGACCTGGACTATGCTCGTGGAGGACCAACGCGCCCTTGGTGTTTTCGAACGGAAGGTGTTGCGTACCATCTACGGTGGAGTGCAGATGAATGACGGAACGTGGAGGAGGCGAATGAACCACGAATTGCACCAGCTGCTGGGAGAACCATCCATCGTCCACATTGCAAAAATTGGGCGACTACGGTGGGCTGGGCACGTCGTAAGAATGCCGCACGACGACCCAGTGAAAATGGTTCTAGAAAGCGACCCAACAGGAACAAGAAGAAAAGGCGCGCAGCGGGCTAGGTGGATCGACCAAGTAGAAGGTGACCTGCGGACCTTTCGCAGACTACGAGGCTGGCGAACTGTGGCCATGGATCGAGTAGAGTGGAGACGACTTCTTCGGACAGCAGAGGACAATAAGGCCTTAGCCTGATTGGTAAGTAAGTACCTAATTTTACTTCCAAGGCTGTGTCGCAATGGGCGAGTTAAATTTAACTCGTTGTTAAAAGTGACAGATGAGTTATCGAATAACCCTGCTATACGATAAAATGCGTTGTTTACAAAAGCTGATATGTCCTTTCGAAAAAGTAATCGAGATTTGTAGTTATCATTCAGGCAAGGAGCGCTTGCCCCATCGAGGCGACGCCGCTACCAGCAGCCAGTGATCTCGACGGGAACGACGCGCAAAGTTCGAGGTGCAAAACTCGAACTCTGCGCGCTTGACAGGAACCGCCTTCCCTACTGCTGCTACTTTTACTGCTGCTGCTGCTACCTGTTTACCCGCCGTCCGAAGCGAAAATGAGTTCAGGCACATTAGCAGCGCTGTTTTATAACTTTTCAGATTCAAGCAGCACGATGTGCAACCAAATGGCACTCGATTATCAGGACTGGGTTTGGGGAGAACGTTGATTTCATGACTTTTAAAACAGCTGTTATGAAAAATTGAAAAAGCGTTTATTGTAACAGCTTACGAGAGTGATTTCTTATTGATTGGTGTATTTGGATTTTAATTTCATCTATAAATGACAAAGTTATAAGCGTTCAAAACCTTACACATTTTCGTGACGGTCGCAATGTTAGCTTTTCGATTTACCCCCAGTACCTTCCTGTAAGACGTAGTCTACGTCAAAAATCCCTGAGATTCCCTGAGTTTCCAGGTTTTTCTTGATAGTGGAAACCCTGTAAACGAATCGGAGCAAAAGCGTTAAATAGTTGGATACTGACCTCAGGGTAGGGGCATTGCACTAGAGACTAGAAGGGGTTTTACAACGGGTGTGCTTTAACATGAACGGCGCGATCCTCGATCCATCGTAGCTCGTATAAGCTTCTTCTTCTTCATCATCCTCGCATTTCAAGCTTATTGTTTATCGCAAATTAGCTTATTACGTGCTCTCAACTTAGTGTTCTACATGCACTTCCACATGCCTGTACCATTTTTGCATTAGTATAATTGTGTGGCTAGTACAATCATACTCTTTATGCCCAGGGATGTCGAACCCAGCCACCTCCATAGCATGGTCTTGCTTTCTAGCTGCGCCTTTATCGACTGAGTATAAGTAACGATGGAGATGAGTTATAGATGGTGGATGAATTGGTGTACATCTAATCATTGCTGACGTCGAATACTAACCGAAGCAGAGACATTCAGAACCGTATTATTGCCGGAATATTTTGCTTACTACGGACTCGCCAAGATGTCTAGTAACCTTCGCTCTGTACTAATTGTACCATTTAGAAAATGCTGACAAGATTGGTACGAGATGTGGACGACGCTCGATGAAGACTCGGATTTTTGAACGATCATTTTTGGTCGGGTATTTGAAAACGGCGCATGGATGAGAAGAATGTATCAAGAGCTGGTGTAGTACCTCTGTCTTCTATGGTCGCTAAATCATAGAAAACACTCCCACGCATACCATCCTGCTTCATACTTGTATGCGCCTCCAGGAATTATCTTTCGACGGTTGGATTGTTCTTTAAAGTTCCTCGCAAACGGATAACACCGGCTATGGCGACTACTCGTATGTCACGCAACAATTTTATTCTTTTTTTTTCCTTTATCTCTCTTACAGTAGTTTGTGTGTTCTTGTTTCATTTTTTTTTGTGAGTGAGTTTTAGTTTTGTGGTAAAGTATCGCTAATTTTTCTTCATTATATAATCGTCTGCTCGTTATCAAATAAAATCCTTTTGGTATCTTTTCTCCCACTTCCTACGTCCCTCGAGCGTGTGCTTTTTAGTTTCTGTTTTGTTTTTCAAATAGTTTGTTTCATTAGCTTTCATAACGTTTTGTTGTTCATTTGGAAATATCTAGTTACCATTATCATTATAATCTTATGGAAATCCGCACACTTATCGATTTACTCACTTGAATTAGGTTTGTATGTGTATCTCTTCTGTGTGTATGTGTGTGTGTGTTTAGCAATGTTAAATTTTTGTAATAAAAAGGAAGAGAGGAAAAATTACCTCCACTCGAAAATATATTAGGGATCGGTTACGTCCGGGCGCGTTCAGGGAATCACCGCGAGCGAACCCGGAGTTGCTTTGTATGTGCGTCCGATGTCCCAAAAAACCTTATACAATATCCAACTCGACTTGGTGGTGCCGATGGCTGGAAGAATATTATTTGGCATGGCCATTACTAAGAACAGCCGGTAAAACGTTTACCTGCTGTACGGCTGCGTTGAGTGCGTCGATTTCCTTCTTGAGGAAGGCATCGACGCCTCCACCGACTCCGTGGTCGGAACCGCTGTGATTCTCAACCTTGGTCTGCTGACGTTTGCGAAGCGATTCCGCCGAGATAAAGATCTCGTTATTCTCGTTCATACGCATCAGGTCGTCCTTCAACTCGACGATGCCGGTAACGGTTTTATCGATCAGCTCTTCGATGTTGCGCGTTTCTTGTTCGAACTTTTCCTTGATTAGATTTGATAGATTATCACTTTCCCTCTCAGTCTTACTAGTTGCTGCAGTTTGTTGTTGTTCGTTCGTTTCCAAGTGGTGGCCGTTGACAGTGACGGCGGCTGCTGTGGCACTACCATTGGCGGTGGTTCCGTTTCTATCCGTAGAGGCGGTATGTTTCTGCCAACCGTTCTGATCGCCGGTGGTGTTGCCAAAGCTTTTCGACTGTTGGCAGGTGGAATCGGTTGCCCCATCATTCGATGCGACAGCACCGGAAGTAGTGATGACGGCGGTGGCGACGGACGAACGTTTCCGCTCACCGCGTGGTACAAATTTCGTTAAAATAAATACAGTGATCAAACAGACTAGATGAAGGCACATAAAAACATTCAGGTACATACGAAGACCAGCCTTAAACTCGAGCAAAACGAATGGAAACGTGGCGTATCCCATGAAAACACGCGTTACGAGACAGGTCAGAATGTCGTAAGATATCCGTTTAAATGCCGTGTCCTGGAAGTGCTCTCGGAACAGCTTCCGTGCGACTCGAGCCGCCATCACAATGAACGCTCCCGTAGCGAATGTCATGTAGTATCCGGGATAGAATCCATGCCATAGGGCACTCAGGCTGAATGTTAGCACCGTGCCGTAGCGCTTCGGAACACGTTCGAACACCAGCATTCGTAGCCACCGGTTCGTGCCAGTATTCCAGGCGTTGATACTGTTGCGGAAGTTGGTGCCGAACTCGAACGCCCAAACGTCAATGTTGGACACCATGTCCCAGCGGGGAGTCACGCCATCCTTTTCGTAACCGTTGAATCCGAGACCGGAATTGTTACAGATGGCGTCGGCCATCAGCCAGGCGAAGTAGTACTTGAAACGGACGGCCGTCGTGGCCATCATCATGTACCAGAACGAATAGAAACAGCCAGAGGCTGCCATAAAGCCGTCCTCTGAAATCAAAACAAATACGGTTTAGGGACAACATTTGGAGGGAATCCCACACACATACCTTTCATAGCCTTGATCGGGTATATAGTGGCGAATTTTATAAAGACCAGCGCGCATACTAAACTGGCAATAACCTTCTTTACGACCACTTTCACTGGCGATGGTTCGTGGACAATCTTCTTTTCGCCGTCGTACTTTCCCTGAAAGAAGAAACGGGTGAGTCTTGTTCCATAACCTGATTGTCAACAAACACTTTTCTAACATTGGAAACTGCCGTCTGCTTGAGGATATTATAGCCCTCGATGAAGTCGATGTAGTCCTTATAGAAGACCAACGGGCCCGCCAACAGACCCTGGAAGTGCAGCGTATACGAGAAGAACTCGAGTGCCGAGGGAAGTTTCTTGATCGCGTGCTCCTGTTGGCTGTGGGTGAGATCTTTCATCTCGCGCGTGAAACCATCGTGGATGCTGAACGCCAGGCTGGTCACCTTCTGGGTGATGATCATCAACGGACCGGTAATGTCCAGCGAGTACGAACCGTAATCATAGTACTGCCGGTGCAGATGGATGCACGATAGGTACGCCAGGGCGACGACCATGACGATTCTAAAATCATGAATAACAAAATGAAATAATTATAACTGCATAAAAGTCTGACTCGGAAGGTCTTACCGTTGCACGATCTGCGGATTTTGTGTGCGAATGACGACATAGCAAACGGCTGGAAGTCCCGCGATGTGTATGGCCTGCTGGCCGAAGCAAAAGTAGCCGAAAAACAGTCCGATGACCAGTCCGATGGCATGCCGGGTGCTGGCCGTCACCTTCGAGGGGTGCAGATAGGAACGGAACACTGACGCAAGGATCAGCGCCAGAAACTGTGTGATGAGGAAGTTGACCTGGAGGAAGAAGGAAGAACCATTATTATAGAGCGAACAAAACACACAAATAAATAAAAACAGCTGAGGTCAAACAAAACAGATCAATCAATCAAACGAACAAAAAAAATGTGATTCTAACTGGAGTAATCTCTCCCTAATGAGGGTTTTCTTGCTTCTATAAACACAGTGGACTAAACAAAGAACGACGACTTGGTTGTTCCCTGCCGATACAATATGCTTCGGATTGGAAGTTCATCACAAGTAAGAGGGTGAGCACCATATTATCAATTATTTATTATGCGCCTTTCCATACTGAGAAAAATGTAAGATTGTTGCAATTTATGCTTTTCTACATCGCTATTCGCAAACCAAACAGTACCGAGGAATTTATCTCAGTGTGCATTCCAAACAATCATAAATGCATTCAAAGAGCCGACCCTTGAACGAGTTATTTATAAAAGTGAAAGTCGAAGAAGAGAATCAATCAATGCACATGGGACCTTTTGTATTGTTTAGTTTCAATTAATCGGCTCTTGCATGGCTTCATCAAATGACATTTGATTTTGACGTCCACTTCTCAACTGTTGGTTAATAATAAAGAACGGGCGGTGAAAGTGGGTGGAGATTGATCGATCTAAGTAGGAATTCAAATGAAAGCTTTTGTCCCTGGTCCAATGGAAAGGAAAATAACGCAGCAGCTTTTTTTGTATCAGGGCTCGACGCAGCACGTGAAGTACTGTAGAAATGCACCAGCAATCCTAGGTGCAAACCAAACAGGATGTTCATTTGAGCGATGTTTACCGCCTTTACCCTAAATAGAAAATATTAATAGAACAGCACCACTTTTCAACACTCTAAAAAATCTTCACGTTCGATTTACGTGAAATTTCACGTAACTGATCTGTATTTAGAAAATCTCAGTATGTTAAGTGACGATAGTAGCTTTGACCTGCATTGGACGTCATGTCCACTAAAATATTGGTGAAATCGACTGTTTACGTCAATATAAACAGATATAGGTTTCTTATTGTGGAAAATTTCAAGGTAATTCCAAGGAAAACTAAAAGAAAATTGAATTCGGAGGATTGCTTCATCGAACTTGTGAGGAATATTTCAATGGAAATCTCCGTTGAATATGAAATGGACCATTCTAAGGTCTTCAGAACTACTTGAAAGTTCCCATTTTTTTCCTGAAGTTAACGAAACTGCCTTGAAGTTCTTTTGTAGTTCGAGAAACTAGCCTGATGCTCACATTGCTTCTCATTAAATTCTGAACTGTATAGGACTTCCTAAAGTTTCCTCAATTTTTCTAAACGATCATGGATCTCCTTAAAGGTTCAACAATTCACTGAAGTTCTCTAAACTTCTTTAAGTTTTATGTGACTTCTCCAATGTTGATGGAACTGCTCTGAGGTTCTCTGTTCTTTTCTGAAATTCTCAAAACTACTCTAAAGTTTTTGCAGTTCTCATGAAGTTTGTGGTACTGCGATAAATTTAATTGAACCACCCTAAAAATTTTTAAGCTTCCATTAACTTCTGAACTTATGCGAAGACCTCGATTAACTTTTTGACGTCTCTGAAGTTATCTAAAATCTAGGAACTGCTATTATTTTCTGAAACTAATGAAACTCCACCTGAAATTCCTCCAATTTTCGGAGCTTACCATACTTCTTTCAAATGCTCCCGCATTTTGCTATAATATTCCTGAAAATTTCTGAAGTTCACGGATCTCCTCTTAAGATCCAAAGATTTATATGAAGTTCTCGAAATGTTTCTGAAGACCTGTGAAGTTTTCGAAGTTTTTCTAAATTTGTGGAACTTTTGTGCTTCCGTAATGTTCATGGAAATAGAACGAAATAATTAATATAGTTCTATGATTTTCATTGAAGTTCTAGATTTTTCTAAAGTCCATGAAACTTCCCTTGAATTATGGACACTAATTTCAAACTTCTTCAGTTTTTTTTCGTGTTGGGTATATTCATCACTGCGACCATTACTTTGATCTATTGTGATATTCCCCGTTTTTATATTGCTTAATCAGTTATGTCGTATCACTATTTTGTGAAGCGACCGACATAGACTGACCAAAAGCATTTTCCCAGCCAGGTATTACATTTCGAATGAATTTGTGAAATGAAATGTACTGCTTGACTGGGTCCTGCATTCCAAATATCAAAGGGTTCTGCCAGCCCCTTATGCAGAAAAATGCGCCTTTTATTGAAGATTGCTACACAAGAGCATAGCAGGTGTTCAGAGTCTTCCTTGTCTATGCCACAGAATCGACACATATCCTCTTGAAGTTTTCCCATTAACTTCAAATGATATTTACATGGACAATGTCCTGTTATCAAACCCGTATAGACACTGAGATCTTTCTTTGATAATTCGAAAATTCAGAATTATGAACCGTTTCGACTGTCTAGCAATGGAAGTGTTGTTCCAATTGGTCTACACTTTATTTTTTTTTTCATTTCTTGATCTCCATTTTAAGAGAACAAGCTGAAACTCCACAGAATGGTTCTGATCCTATGAATTGCTGAGATGATCCTAGCCTGGCTAACGTGTCGGCTTTTTCATTCCCTTCAATTCCACAGTGGCACTTGGTTTTGACAGGCCAATTTCTGAAGTGACATTGCATATTCCCATACGAGTTTTGAATTGGATTTTGCTGATTTTAAAGCACACCAGTAAGTCGTTAACTTCTTCAATAGTCTAGACTTTTCTGGCGTTATTAAAACTGCCTAAACGATTTATTAATTTCATTTAAGTTATCTAGACTGCCCTGAATTTAAGAGTATTTTTAAGAACCCGCAACTTTACTGAAATTAATTGATTTGCCATGACGACAATCTTCCTTAATTATTATAACCATTATAAACGCTCACTAATTTTCCCTGAACTTATCTATGCTTACCTGATGTAGTAATTCAACAAATTTTCTGATATATATATATATATATATATATATATATATGTTCATAATTCTCTGACCCTTCTGACTTTTTCGTATCTTGGAATACCCCATAATTCAACGGAACTCCTTGTAAGTCGCTGAAAATTTGTAGAACTTCACTGAATATCATGAAACTATCTAAAAATATCTAATTTTTTTAGAAGTTCTCTGGAATTTCTTGAAGATATCGCTGCCTGCTAAAAGTTCTCGCATTTTTTTTTTTAATAATGGAAGTTCGTTGATGTTCTCTAATCAAATTAGTTAAATTCTCACATTTTTTTAAGTTCTTGAAATTTCCATGATATAGCACCCTTAAAATACTCTCACGTTTTCCGGGTTTTTATATAATTTTTATCACGTTCCAGAAATTCTCTCGGAGCTTTGCTGAAGTTTCCGGAAGTTCCCTGAGTTTCTCGAAACTTCTTTAAGGTTTCTACAACTTCCTTGAAATTATTTGAACTGCCCTTTGATTCTCCGATCTGTTTTGATGTTCTAGAAGCTTCCCTAAAACTCTCAATTCTATTGAAGATCTAGGTTCTGCTCGGAAGTAAATGGAAATAAATTTCCCTGGAATTCTCTGGACTTCTGTGAAGCTCCTGAAATATTTCTGAAGTTTTGATAAATCCTCTGAAGGTCTTTGTACTTCCCTAAAATTCTCGGAACATGTTAAGGGTTATCGATTTTTTTTTTCAGCACCATCATGGAACTATCCTGATTTTTTTCTAAATGTACGATTGTAGATCTTCAAACTGTTCCAAAAGTCTGGACTAAAGTTACGGGAACTGCTCTTAAGATCTGAAATTCCCCAAAGATCTAGCTTTTCTGAGGTGCTTGAAACTTCTTAAAGATTTGCACAATACCCCGCAAGTTTTCTATATTTCTCAAGTTCACTTGACACCTGTGAAGTTCTCTGAAATTGTAGGAACTTCATAAATAACCGCTTCGGATGCTAAAATAACCGCTTTGAAGTTCTTAAAGCTTTCAGCGTGTTAACTTCCCTTATGTTGCCGCAGTTTGTTTATGGAGCTTCACTGAATTCTCAGCATTTCCTACAGCGACTCACGAGGAGCTACTGATTCCGATCAATAGCGGTGCGGCTTCTTCCTTCTTCTATGGATGCTAATGTGGGCTGCAGCTCGCTGCTTGCAGGCAGCTTTTCGTTGTGTACTGGAGAACACCATCACTCATCACGCGGTGATTGAATAAACACCGTTTGGTGAGACGTGAGACCGGATGGATTACAACTTTGAAATCTGTGTTAGGGAAATCGCTTTTCGCAGGCAATCGGCGATAATTTTAATTATCATACCAACAATTGCACATTCGTGCAATTTTCAATAGTGAAATTTTGAAAAATAATAAAGTCTTAATTTTAACAGATTCGTAGAAACAATTCCTATCGATTGGCATATTAAGAATAAAAATCCATCATCTCTGGATCAAAATCAGACCACTCTCATACCATGAATGACTTTGGTTTTTGAAATTGCACCCCCAATGTTGCCTTCAAGAACATGGTATGTTAGATTTAAACATATCTAGATAGAGCTGGAATTAGGTGTAACAGCTTTTGTAAACAATGACTTCCCTCTATGATTTTTAGGAATTTAAGGCACGCCCACGCAAACCAATATTACCATCGGATAGAGGAAGTCTTCCCCTACCTGATGGTGGTGTCGATTTGCGTGGGCGAGCCTTGACTTTCAAGACATCATCGAAAGAAGTCATTGTTTAAAAAAGCTGTTACGCCCTAATTCTAGGTCTATCTTGATATGGGAACTGACATCCGATTGATGACTTTGACAAATGTCCAAAAAATACTCTTTTACCGTTTTGTCTTGATGGTTGAGTATGCTGAGCTATTAGGGTGTTGAACACGGATGAGGCTGGTGAGTTGTATGTTGTTTGGAATGAGGGTGACGCGCTTGGCATAGATGGTCCACAGCGACTCACGAAGAGCTGCTGATTCCGATCAATAGCGGTGCGGCTTCTTCCTCCTTCTATGCTCATATGGGCTGCAGCTCGCTGCTTGCAGGCAGCCTTTCGTTGTGTACTAGAGAACAAT